TATCACTTTTCCTTCTGTATTGAGTATTTGCTTGATTAATGAGATCCTGTTCCTCATCAGACTGGGAACTACATAGAGTGCAGTCTGTGTCTGATATGGCTCACTGTGTACTTGGTACAGGGCCTGGCTTGACACTCAGCAAATGCTTGTGGAGGAATGGATGTGTACCAACCCCGCAGTGGCCTGGGGTGTGGGAGCAGGTGGGACTCATCAGTCAGACTGAGAATTTTGCATAGCTGGATTTTGATTATGAGGCCTTCATCTATAGAAACTACCCCTCAGTACTATTCACTCCACACATCTTAGTCTAAATCTAGGTAGGAAGAATGTATAAGCAGAATGTTATTTTTGTAACCAACTAGAAAAAGCTATAAATTTTTAATATCTTTGTATTCCAGCTCCTATTCACTAGTCATACTGCATGGAAAAGTGGCCTTCTGTGGTTCCCTGAAGATGACCTCACAAGGTCATGCTATCCTTGCCCAGAGCTCAGGGCTCCATCAGTCTCCAGTGTCAGTAGACACCTCTCAATTTTCAGGAGAGAAAACAGGGCCATCATGAGTATGGATTGAGGTGGGGAAGCCTGTGGGCGGAGTTCCGTTTTGTGTCTGTCAGGTTTGGGAGGGAGTTCTTCCTACTCACCACCTAGGCCAGGTGAGTGGATATTTTCCCCACATACCTGCTCAGTGTTCTGCTTGGGACTCTGCCTGCTTCTAGCCAGGGAGACAAGTACGTGGCAGAGTTACCACTTATTTAAAAATAGATCTTTCTTGACATGTATGTAGCACTGAGTACTTAATTTGTGCCAGGCACAGCCCTCCGTGATTTACTTGCATTATTTTGTCTGATCTTCATTTAAATCAAGAGATTGTTGTCTTTATTTCATCAACAAGGAAGCCAAGGCTCATTGCTTGCCCAAGATTACACTGTTGGCAGATTGCCTCAATCGCAGAGACAAGATTTGAACTCAGGTCTGTGAGAGTCCTAAGCCAGAGCACTTGCTTACTGCTCAGAGAAGATGAGCAAAGGACAGAGATAGGACATGTGTTTGGAGGTGGGTAGTACAGTGACCTTGTGAGGAAAGATAGTGTGAACCCAACAAGGCGAGATTTGTTCAAAGCCTCCACAGGTTGGGGTGGATCTTGAGAGGATCTCCTGTAATCTCATTTCCATTTCATGGGGGTGGGGTAAGGGCCTTTGCAGAGAGGGAGGCAGCAGTGTGGATGTGTGTACTCACACAGTTTATGTGGCACTTTTATTTATTACTAGGGGCCCGGTAAATGAATTTGTAAGGAACTGTGGGCTGTGGGGCTGCAGTGGGCATAGGGGCGGGTCTTGGCCCATCCTCTGTGCCCCTGCTGGACCCTCCTGCCTTGACTCCTGGTCCCGGGTCTGCTGGTAGCTCCCGCTTCCACCGCTCCCATGTACTGAAGGTGCTGGCCCTGCTTGCACCCACTGACAGCGAGATTAGGGCCAGCACCAGCAGTGGCTGCTGCCCTGATCACTCCTCAGGAGCGGGGGTGTGGGAAGGGTGGAAAAACCCTCAAGGGCAGTAGGGGCCAGCAACCACCAGCAGTAGGTATGAGTGCTGGGCAGGACCGTGACTTGTGGGAGCAAAGAATTTTCAGTAACTACCAGAGGCTTGCCCTGATGACAGCAACAGGTGCCCCACCTTGATCTGGCACCCCGCTCACCAGCTCCACCATCTTGCTGCAGTCGATGCCCACCATGTTTCACATGCAGGCCCCCTCCCCTGGTGGTCAGTGCGCGTTATAGTGACCAGTTGTTCTGCCATTTGGCCTATTTGCATATTAGGGTTTTATATAGATAGGTGTGTGTTTTTAATCCTCACCAGAGGACATTCTCAGAGAAAGGGGGGAGAGAGGAAGAGAGAGAGAGTGAGTGAGAGATAGAGATTGGTTGCCTTCTGCACATGCCCCACCCCACAACCCAAGTATGTGCCCTGACTGGGAATTGAACCAGCAACCTTTTGGTGAGCAGGACACCCTCCAACCAACTGAGCCACACCAATCAAGCTCATCTGGCACTTCATGCTGACCCTGTGTAAGAGGCTTTAAAGCATACCCTTCTCCCCCCACTTAATCTTACAACAACTATAAGAGGTAGATTCTGGTAGGTTTATCGAATAGAGAAGGAAAATTAGGTATAATAGGTCAAATCACTTGATTGGAAACACAGAACAAGTTGAGGAGCTGGCATTTAAACCCAGATTTGTGCCCCTTCAGAGCATGCAAGTATAACCCAGGCAGTGGAGCTTGGCCATGCTTGCAGACCAGGTGCCTAGATTTTTTTTTCTTCTTTTTTTTTTTTCTTTATTGATTTTTCACAGAGAGGAAGAGAGAAGGGTAGGAAGTTAGAAATATCGATGAGAGAGAATAATCGATCAGCTGCCTCCTGCACACCCCCTACTGGGGATGTGCCCACAACCAAGATACATGCCCTTGATGGGAATTGAACCCGGGACCTTTCAGTCTACAGGCCGATGCTCTATCCACTGAGCCAAACCGGTTTCAGCAGGTGCCTAGATCTTGGCTCCAGCAGCAGCAGAACACCAATAAGGCTTGCCCTCTGGGAACTGCCCTCTTATATCCTCAGTCGTGAAATGTGATTGGCTGCTTTACTGCCCAACAGCATCTATCAGGCACATGCAAGATCAGAGGCTCTGGCATCCCCTGTCATTTCCTGCCCTAGCCCTGCCTGCTACTGCCCTTAGCTTTACTAGTACAGGTCAGCTGAGTTCCACCGTGTACTCACTGCCCACCACTGAGACCAGCTGTGCTTTGGGCATTATAAAAATATCTGAGATATGAGAGGTAATTTCTATCCCATGGGAATGTGCACATGTGCACAAAACCTCCAGTGAGATCCAGACGAGGAAGAGGCTGTCAGAGAGATGGTGAGGGCTGTGTACTGATGAGGGCTGGCAGGGTACAGAGAAAGTAACTCTGTGGAAGAGGTGGGCAGGATTTCAGGAGAGGAACAGGGACGTATTAACATTTTTTGAGCACCTGCTATGCACTGTACAGGCATTGTCACCTTGAATCCTCACACTTGCCATGACCCCCGTGCCATCTTCATCACATTACAGATGAGGAAGCAGATACTAGGATGGGTAACTTGCTCACGTGAGAGCTGTAACTAGCATTCTAGCCCTGGTTTGTCTGAATTCAGAGTTGTATAAGGGGAGTGTGGGAAATTGGGTAGGGAAAGCAAATTCATACATTCCTTAACGAAAACCTGCTTGGTGGCCAGAGCTCAAAGTAGCTCATGGTTGTGGGAGGCAGGAGACAATGCATACTTGTTGAGAGATCAGACACAGAGGAAGGGCCATCCAGGTCAGAATTGGGTCAGGGCAAGCAAGTTGGTACAGGCACCCCCAGAGGAGCCGCCTTTCAGGCTGATTGAGGAAAAGGCAACTGCTGGTTAAGGTGAGGCAGGAACCAGGCAATGGGAACAGCCTCAGACAGGAAGGGGCTCTCTTGTCTCCGAGGCAGAGGAATTCATGTTGTCAAGAGGCAGGCGGGGGAGTCCTAGGCCACCGGCAGTCCATCCCATCCTGTCTCATGCCCTCCCCTCCCCATACTCAGGTTTGGAAGGAAACCTCTTGTGGTCCCTATTGTACAATAGTACAGCATGTTAATTAGGCAGGGACTTTGTCTGGGAATGACCCTGTGTTGAGCCTCTGAATGAGCAGGACTGGTGGCGTTATCAGAACACAGTGTTTGGCCAGAGGCTCCTTGGAAGCCCCTCACCTCCACGTGGCGTCTGCCTGTAGCTGGCCATGGAGAGTGTGCTCCTGCAGAATGAGGAGGGTGGAGGTTTCTATGAGAAACAGAGTGGGGATTTTCCCAGACCCTGCTTCGGGAGGCTGAGTGGGCCGGTTTCCCAGGATTCTGGGCATGTCCACCTTAACTGGTGTGACACATGTCCCTGGCGCTGACATCTGATAACATGCGCCAACCAGCAGGGGCTGAGTGGCTGGCCACCACCAGAAGGACAAGTGCATTGTACTTGGGTGTTTTGTGTTCAGGTTTGGGCTTCTTAACTCCCTTTCACCTTCCAGCATTCTCATGCCCAGTGATCCTCAGAAACATCCTCCTCAGAAACAGTTGTTTGACTGGGGGAAGAGGAGGCCTGCCTCCTACTTGCCTTGCTCCCCTCTCTAAGATACGTTGATCTTAAGATTTGGAAGGGTGGGATGTGGAATGTTCCCCAAGAAATAGAGGACACATGGCCTATAGGAAAACAAACTGTGGGGATGTGCACAGAGGAGGTGCTTGCTGGTGGGCCACCCAAAGCTCCCAAGGGACACTAACATGAGAAAACTTTGAATTTATAGGAGGCTTTACCGTCGTAGGTCATCTCTGTACCAGAGATGGGGAAGTGGCTGCCCAAGCTTCTACCTGAGGGGCAGGTGGGTGGAGGCAGTACTAGCTGGTCTTTGAGATCTGGTCAGTCCACTGGATGACTGAGGGCTGGCTGTGTCTGTCCAAGAGAACATAGCTCTACAGTAGCGGTCGCCAACTGGTAGTCTGCGGACCGACCACTGGTGGTTCATGAGGTCCTAATGGTTGGCGACCGCTGCTCTATAGGAGCAGGGCCCCTGCCTCTTGTTTTCACACTTGGACCTGGTGCTTAGTCAAGGTAGGTTTGTGTGATTGAACAAGCAAACCACAGGTTGTGGCACCTCTGTCTGCTACGTGTGCTAGGCTTAGGATGTGTCTCGGAGAGGCACTTGTTCCAAGGGTGGCAGACTTGGGCTCCAATCCGTGCTCTGCCACTTTTCACCTAGGTGTTTGTGCTAGTGGGTCTGTAATTACCCTGAGCCTCAGTTTCCTCAGATTAGCCTGCTAGGCTGTTGTAAATATTAGAAACAGTGTACTTAAAGGGTGGAGCCCAAGGCTGTGGCCCAGCCCTTTTGCTAGAAGCCCCAACAGCCACGTTGACCCTCCTGGCCACTCTCTGCTCTGCTTCCCTAGACCTTCACAGCCTGGTGCAATTCCCACCTGCGGAAAGCCGGCACGCAGATCGAGAACATCGATGAGGACTTTCGAGATGGGCTCAAACTCATGCTCCTCCTGGAGGTCATCTCAGGTGAGACTCCTCTCTCAGAAAGCATACCCCACCTGGAACCGGGTACCTGTCACAGCAGTCCCTGGGATATGGCCCACCCCATCTGTCCCATTGCTGCTGGGAAAAGTGAGGCTTATATGGCTCCGGTAGCAGTGTGTCTGAGCATAGGCCTTTGGGATGGGCCCAGAGTGCTGTGGCAGCCCATTCTGGGGAGCAAGCAATGGGGACTCTAGAGCTTTTCTTTTTTCTCTTTTTTTCTCAGGGGAGCGGTTACCTAAGCCAGAGCGGGGCAAGATGAGAGTGCACAAAATCAACAATGTGAACAAAGCATTGGACTTCATTGCTAGCAAAGGAGTCAAGCTGGTCTCCATCGGGGCAGAAGGTGAGCTTGGATTATGCAGCCCAGTTTCTGACCTGCAAGCTCTGAGGCCGGACCTCTGTCTCAGAAGTTGTACTGGTGGTAGAGCACTGGAAGTGCTTAAAGCCCTGATATATCCTCAGCAGTGACCAGTGATTGCTGCAATGTGACATTGGCCCACAAGTTTCCCTTCCCCTCCCACAGAATAATCCAGTCCAAGACTGAGGAGTCTATATAATTCCCCTGATCACGCAGGGCAGGCTTCCTCTGCAGGAGAAGAAATGGCTTTGACTTGCACCCTGGAGACACTGACAGACAAGTGACATGGCATCCCTCTGTGCCTTAGGCCCTGCCTGGTATCTGTGGGCAGGAGGGGATGCAGAAGGTAGAAGGGCACTTGAGGCCCAGTGTCAGTGCTCTGGGCAGGAAGTGCAAGCCCAAAGGTCATTGACCAGACTTTGCTAGCCACATGTCCTGGGAGAGTTTGTCCTCTGACTGATTACCCAGGATCCTTCTGTGCCCCATGGGGATTCTCAGGACTGTAACCTTCTACTCCAAGCCTTCCTACTAGAACAAGAACATGCTGTCCCTCCAGGAGCAGGTTCTTGTCTAGTGGTCACAGGCACTTTTGGAGACGAGGTGAAGCCTGATGGTGTTCAGCTGCTCCCCATCAGCCTAGCCTCACAGTTTGCTCATTAGTCAGATCAGTTTAACTCTGCCCAACATCCATGTGGTCCCAGCTTTTAGAAAAACAAAGAAAACTAATTGCCATTAAAGACAGTACTCTGAGAGTTTGGCCAAGACCCTAGGCTAAGAGTGCCTATCGAGTTCCAAGGCTTCCCCTGCCCCTGCTGCTCTGGGTGCCAGAGAGGGGTGCCAAGCCTTATATGCCACAGTTAGAGTAGTTGGTGTTTGTTTGAAAAAAATCAAAGGCCAAAGATTTAATTAGGCCCTGAGATTTTCTGTCCTTGCGTGGATCTTTCCTCCTGGCTGCACTCCAGTCTTCTGCTTCTCACAGCTGCATTTATTTTGCTCAAATTCTAGACTGTAAATGCAGAAGGGGTTAGAGGAGAGGCCCGTGGCAGTAATCAGTTTTCATTTGGAGAAAAACTCAGGCTAAAAACATCCTTTTTTAAATTAGTTCACTCCCAATTCTGTGACCATCGGGCCTTAGACAAAGCTGTAGAGCAGCCTACTAGAGACATTCCGGGGGCTTTGGAATACCTGAGAACTCCAGCCCCTACACTGCCCTTACCTCCCCATCCCTCTAAGGATCTACACAGTTAGAGGAACATTGCTTCCTTATGGGGGTTATAAGAGGGGATGAGTTGGAAGCACAGCTGCAGTTCTGAGAAGCAGCTGGTGGAAGTGTAATGAGAAAAGCCATCTTCTTCCCCTCACAGGAACTCTCTAAGCCCTTCGTGACCAGTTTCCCCATGTAACCAGCTGGAAGTAGGAGCTGTGACCTCCTCTCCAGATTGCCCATCCCCCACCTCTGGGTATCTGGCACTTGGGAGGAACACAGCATAGATTTCCTGAATGAATGGTGCCTTTGCTCCACACTGGGAAGCTTCTGCCTGGTTTCAGGGTCTGGGCTTCTTAGCCCTGGGAAAGGGCCTGCAGACACTGTATTTTTCCTCTGCCTCCAGGCTGCAGGCCACACATATTTTCTTATCCTGAAACTAAAGCCAAAAGCTATCCTCAGCCATCAGACCATGGCTTCACTTGGGGAGTTTTGCCACCATTGCCAAGAGTCCCCACCCTTTTCTCTTGAGTGTGTCTGTGGGGAAGGTTGGGCCCCATCCTGTGGATGACCACTATACCCCCTTTTTAAATCAAGCCCATCCTGGAATTTTCTGCTTTTGAGGATCCGTGAATAAGGTGTCTTGAAGTGTCCTATTCTTCCTACCCTTTCTCCCTGTATCTTGTGTGCCAGGGTATATGGGGGCAGAGGACGTTTAAAAGACTGCCAAAGGCACGCCTGGATGATGGCTCCTACTAGAGGAGGCCACTTGTACTCTGTTACCCAGCAGTGGACACATGGTACCCTGAGTGCTACAGATATGACTTTCTCTAAGTTGGTGAAGCTAAAGAATGTGTATTCCTGACCCTTCTCTCTCACTCCCAGATGCTTTAGAGAGTGGTTGGTTTTTGGGTCCTGTATCCCTACTTTCCTCTTCCTTCAACAACATCATATCTTTCAGAAGGGCCAGGGCCAGGTGCTGGGGATGCAGTGGTCACAAAGGCAGACAGTGAACAAGTAAACCTACCAAGAAATATATGGTTCCAGTTGGCGATCAGTATGAGGAGAAGAGCAGGGTGGTGGGGAGAGGGGCCCTAGGATGGGTGCAGGGAGCACCTTTAGACTGGTGGTCAGGGAAGCCATTTTGAAGAGTTAACAATAAGCAGAGGGTGACAGGATAGGAAGGACTTGGCATCTGAGAAAGGGGGTGAGGGATGCATTTTGTTGGTGGACAGAAGGTATGAGGTCCTTAAAGCAAAAAAGAGCCTGGCTTGCAAAAGGATACAGCTAAAGAGTGCTGAGGAGGCGGAAGGGCACGGCAACGCAGGGCAGGCTTTGTAAGCTGGGCCCCAGAACACGGGCTTCGTTTGAGGTGTAGTGGAGCTTTAATTAGGTGAGTGGCACAAATCTGATGCAGTTTAAAAAAAAAAAATTATTGAATTTTTACAGAGAGAAAGGGGAGAGGGATAGAGTGAAACATCAATGAGAGAGATACATTGATCAGCTGCCTCCTGCTGAAGCTACACCCCTTACTGGGGATGTACCCACAACCAAGGTACATACCCCTGACGGGAATCAAACCTGGGACCCTTTAATCCGCAGGCCGATGCTCTATCCACTGAGCCAAACTGGTTAGGGCTATAATGCAATTTTTAAAGGGACCACCCTAGCCACTGTGTGGAGGTGGATTGCAGGGGCTGGTGTAGGTCGCAGTGTATTGAGCTCTGGAGGAGGCAACAGTGGCTTGGACAAAAGTGGCAGCATTGGGCTTGGAAGGAAGTGGACAGATTCTCAACAAAGAGTAGTGCAACATGCACCCACTAGTGGGGAGACGTGCCCATAAGCCATGATGGAGGTATCAACAGAGGGCTGGGAGCAAGCTTCGGGGAGGAGCAGTCTTTTAAGTTAGGTCAAGAGAGCCCTAGCTGGTTTTGCTTAGTGGATAGAGCATCAGCCTGTGGACTGAAGGATATTGGGTTCGATTCCAGTCAAGGGCACATGATCCCCAGTGGGGGAGTGTGCAGGAGGCAGTCAATCAGTGATTCTCTCTCATCATTAATGTTTCTATCTTCCTCTTCCTTCCTCTCTGAAATCAATAAAAAATATATTAAAAAGAAAAGAGAGAGAGAGAATGAGCTGGCGTGATGGAAAGCCAAGAACACATATGTTTAGAGGCTTTTGGACTGTGCTTCCCAGAGTTTTCAGGGCACATCTCCAGTGAGGGTGGTGGAGGGTAGGCCTGGGCAGCTAATTTTAAATGGGTTGAGAACGCTGCCCTGGGGGTGAGGGGCTCTCAGTCTGGTTTAACAACCTTCTCGCCCTTTGCCCACTCCCTGTACACAGAGATTGTAGATGGCAACGCAAAGATGACGCTGGGGATGATTTGGACCATCATCCTCAGGTTCGCCATCCAGGACATCTCGGTGGAAGGTAAGAGCCAAGAGTCCTACTGACAGCCAAGAACCACTTTCTCCCCACCCAGGTTCTACCTGAGTTGGGGAGAGTTAGATTAGGATTTTGGGCATTTTGTCTTCATGCTTCAAGGCTCATTCCTGTTTCCCAGGGTCACATATAGGGCCAGGCCATGTGCAGGAGTGGTTAGTAGAGATTCTGGCCCAGGCTGTAGGTGAAGGAATCACTCTTGAAGCCACCCAACTCTGGTATCCAGAGTACTTTGCTTTCACAGCCTCTGTCTCGGTGGACCCTCACATCACCCTCATGAAGATGGCATGATCAGCTCCATTTTACAGCTGAGGAATCGGAATCATATAGACATTAGTGGGAATCAGGCCTGGCCTGGTTCTCCTAAGTGTCAGTGCCTACCTGTTTCCATTCTCCAACCTTTGCCTCTGTGGATCTGGAATCAGTCTAGGCCACCACCGATTCTTCACTTTGTTCAAGGAGTGGCCGAGGCCAGCATCAAAGGCTTCTTTGATGGTGTGTCCTGACAGTAAAAGGCACAAGCCTTGTGGTCTGAAACATGGCACAGGTTCAGACCTTGACATTATTCTGTCACTGCCATTTCCTGGGGTGATTCTGGGTGAGTTACTTCTTGGGGCCATATGTGCTGGTTAGCAGTTAGGATCAGCAGAGGCCTGCCCATATCTGGAATGGGAAGGGCTGTTGCTACCATAACTGCTGCTGCTGCTCTGTCTAGTGGCCTGTCCCCTGGGTTCTGCTTGAACAAGAATGGTTTTGTCTGAGCCGGTGCTCAGTGACTCTGTGTTTTGCAGAGACCTCTGCCAAGGAAGGGCTCCTTCTCTGGTGCCAGAGAAAGACAGCTCCATACAAGAATGTCAATGTGCAGAACTTCCACATCAGGTGAGTGCCGGCAGCTCCGAAGCCCAACTCATTTTCTTGCTTCTTCTTGGGACATGAGGCACTGTCCTCCCACCTGCCTTCTTTTCCTGTGCTTTCCTCATGATCTATCAGTTGCCAGCCCTCCAGGAGTTCCTCCTCCTGACACTGACTCCTGTGAGCTCCTTATAAGGTCCCTGTGTCCTCTCCGAGGAGGAGGAGGAGGAAGAGGAGAAGGAGTGGTGGTGGGGGTGGTGGTGGTGGTGGTGGTGATGATGATGGCAGTGACAGTCGCCTCACTGTCCTGGGCTGAAGGCTTTAAAGGCCAGTGCTATGGCCAGCCTATGACTCTTCTTCCCCCCAAGCAAAGTGATTCTCTGAAGTAACAACAAAGCTCTTTTTTGGTTTTGACCCCATCCCTAGAGATGCTTGTGAATTGAGTGTTGGGGAAAACATACTTTGTCCACTCTAGTGAACAAAACCCAGTCAGCCCTGTAATGAACCTGCTCTCCCTTGGGTGAGAAAAAAGGAGACATGTCCACTGTTGCCAGAACACAGGCAAGCATGATCAGGGCCACTCAAGATCCAGTGTGACCAGAGGCGGGTGGTCCTGAGGTCAGGTCCAGCTTAGCCCTGTGATTTCACCCTCTGAGCCTCTGGTGTCCTCCCAGGGTGGATGGACGAAGGAGGGAGCACACATAGGAATGAAAAATGGGGCCTCACAGGATCCACAGAGGTTCTTCTGTGCCCCCAGGCTCTCCAGGGCCCCAGCACTTAGAGGTTGGGTACCTTTCCATTGTACTCAACTACTAATAGCACACAGTCCCACCCTCAAGAACCTCTGTGTGTCTCCCTTTTCCTGCCACCAACTCACTGGTCCTCTCTGTACTTCTTGTTCATTTATTTATTCACCTAGAGGCCTGGCGCACGAATTCATGCACCAGTGGGGTCCCTCAGTCTGGCCAGTGGGATCAGGCTGAAACCAGCTCTCTGACATCCCCCAAGGGGTCCCAGGTTGCAAGAGGGCGCAGGCCAGGCTGAGGGACCCCACGAGTGCATGATCGGAGCTGGGGAGGGACACGGGAAGTTGGCCAGCTGGAGAGGGACCGCAGGAGGGCTCCAGGGCATGTCCAGCCCATCTCACCCAGTTTGACCCCAGTAGCAGGCTAACCTATCAGTTGGAGCGTCTGCCCCCTGGTGGTCAGTGCACATCATAGCGAGCGGTTGAGAGGCCTTAGCATATCATTAACATATTGTTCAGTAATTGATTGAATGGATGACCAGATGACTGGACACTTAGCATATGAGACTTTTATTATATAGGATTGGTAAATATCTGTGCCTAGTACATGCCAACAGTGGGGATATAGCAGGACCAAATGAATCTCCACCCTTGGAAAGTTATATTGCAGCAGAGAGGACCACTAGTTGACAAAGGTGCAAATAAACCAACACGATTTCAGGTAGGACCACAAAACTAGGACCACAAAATAGAGTGAGGTGATAGAAAGTAATCGGGAGAGTACCTTGGTCAGGAGTGGCCTTCCTGAGGAAGTGTCATTAAGCTTGACCCCAGAAGGAAACAGCCCTCAGAGCAGTGGTTCTTAACCTTTCTAATGCTGTGACCCTTTAATACAGTTCCTCATGCTGTGGTGACCCCTAACCATAAAATTATTTTAATCGCTACTTCATAACTGTAACTTTGCTACTGTTAATGAATCGTAATGTAAATATCTGTGTTTTTCAATGGTCTTAGGCAACCCTGCTAGCAGTTATTTTAGGGCCTGACCAATCATTCCTTGTCTTGACCCACAGGTTGAGAGCCACTGCTGTAGAGCCTAAGACCATCGGAAAACATAGATATTTACATTACGATTCATTAACAGTAGCAAAGTTACAGTTATGAAGTAGTGACGAAAATAATTTTATGGTTGGGGCTCACCGTAACATAAACTGTATTAAAGAGTCATAGTATTAGGAAGGTTGAGAACCATTGTCTTAGAGGATCCCAGGTAGAAAAATGTGACCAGTCTAGCATGTGACCAGTTGTCATTTTGCCTCGCAGAGACCCTCATGCCAACCACATCCTGGCATTTAGCCAGCCTGTGGGTCATGTTAGCCAAGGTGCGGAGGTCACACAACACAGGCACTGCCCTTCTGCAGTAGGCCATCTCCCCTCAGTGGGCCTGTGCAGTTCATTGGAGCCTTACATGTACACATGTCAGGCCCTGGTCTGAGTGTTACCATATTTACTTATTTAATCCTATGACAACCCTCATGAAGTAGGCACTGTTATTATCCCCATTTTACAGACATGGAAACAGGTAATAATTGTAGGACTTGCCCATAGTCACACTAATAGTAAATAGAGGCGCTAGGATTTGACCCCGTAACTCTCAGCTCCAGCAGTCAAGGTCACAGCCACCCTGCCATACCATCTCCCGGCAATGCCTGGCACACACACTAAACCACCTCAGTAAATGGGAATTGATTGTTGCTGTTGGTTCCTGGGGCCTTTCTGCACTCACGTTACAGTACGTGGGCATCCTCATAACCTTGGCCTTTCCATCCCCAGCTGGAAGGACGGTCTTGCCTTTAATGCCCTGATCCACCGGCACAGGCCTGAGCTCATCGAGTATGACAAGCTGAGAAAGGTATGCATCTTGTGTTCCCCACAACAGTCCACAAATACCCTAACTCTAGTCACGTCCCCCAAGTCCATCTATCACTGCTATTCAAAGCTGGATTCTGTAATCAGATGGGCAGGCTGGAGAGCCTTGTGCCAACTGTCACCACATCCCCTGGCTCAGTTCTTACCTCCTTTGCTCCCCTCAGAGACTGTCCCTTTCTCCTTCCATGGGCATTGTAACCGCCAGAGTTATTTTAAGGCCTGGCCAACCATTTCTTGTAGCTCCCCTTCCTTAACTTCTGGGTTCTGGAAGCATTCCCTCTCTGTCCATGGGGACAAGGGGTAAGGAATTCCAAACCACACTGCCGGCAGACATTTCCTGGCAGGGTCCTGTTCTAATTTGTTTATACAAAGCTTGTGACCCTGTAAGCCCCAGGCCCTGCCCTAGGATTCCCCAACCTTGTGGGGAAGGCAGGACAATGTATCCAGAGCAAGCTAGCCACATAAAGCCATGCACAGGTGCTCAGGCTGAATGGGGTGGGGAGGAGATAGGGCCCAACAATACTGCAGGGGAAGGATGGCACACTTGGGCTGTCATAATCAGGAAGGGCCCGTGGAGGAGGGGCCAACGTAGAGTCAGAGAGCAGGCATTCCAAATGGAGGAGGCACGGGCCTCATTGAGCCTGTTAAAGTCACAGGGAGTAATGCAATTGGACTCTAGCTGGAAAGCAGTAAGGACACGTGAAGAAGGGTCCGAATTAAGTGCGCTTTAATCCCCTAGCAGTTGGAGATGGCATGAAGGAATGGATGGTTCAGAGAGGTTAGAACGTGGAGACACTCAATTTGCTTCCCCCAGAGATGTTTCAAGTCTGTCCAGCTGTCGGGTTCAGGACAGGGGGCTTAATCTGTGGTCTGGATAGTTGAAAACTGTAAGAAAAGAGCACATTTTTTCTTCTGGAGGAAAGATCCCCTTTGTCCAACAGGATTTTCAGAGGCGTCCCTTTGGGTCGGAATTGACTATTCAGGTGGCCGCCTCTCCCTGCCAGTAGCACATGTGGCTAAGAACTGCCTAAAAAAGTACCTTTTCCAGTCCTAACCCCTCCCCAGATCTCTTCCTTTTAGGCAAGCCCTGGGTCCCTTTTGTTTCTGGATCCTGCCCCTGACTGAGTTCTTCCTTCTTTCCTCATTTCCCTCTCCTCAGGACGACCCAGTCACCAACCTGAACAATGCCTTTGAAGTGGCAGAGAAATACCTAGACATCCCCAAAATGTTGGATGCAGAGGGTACGTACATCCCTTTTGTTCAGTCAGCACATTGTTTCTTGTGTATCTTATGGTAACTTCAGACAGTGGCAGAGCCAGTGAGAATGGCGGAGAATCTGGGTGAACCCGGGACATTTTGTCTCCAGGGGAACCAGAGCAGGAGCAGCCTTTGCAGGCCAGACTTGCTCAGGGATAGAGCAGGGTGAGGAGTGGGGAAGAGGGAGCTTGAGGAGGATTGACTCTGGAGGCTACCATAGCCCTGCCTGACCCAGTCCCTACCTGGGGGGAGGCAAGGAGCAAAGTGACCAGGGAGGGCTCGCTCCTCTGGATAAGCAAGGCTTCTATTTACCCTGCCTGCTGTGGATTCGGAGTCCAGAGCCCACCCATTTGTAGTGTTTTGTGTTTTCCTTTTCTGGCTTTTCTACATTTCCCATCCATGCACCACCCAGCCAGGATCCATGCCTCTGGCCTCTGGTGGCCCTTGGGGTTGACTGTCCAGAAGCCCCTTGAGACCATTCTCAGAGAGAGGAAGTGGCCTCATTTTAATCCAGTTCCCACAGCTGTGGCCTTTCTAGAGCCCATGGGGATGGAGGGGCTCAGGGTGTAGCTGAGCCTACCAGAGTCACCAGGGGTCACTGAGTCAGTTCTAAGGGACCTTCTTCTGGGATGTCTGTGGTCTTGGGAGCCTTTGGATCCCGGTGAGTGAACACCCCTCCCCCACACTGATACTTGGGCAGTTTAACCCTTGTCATTCACTTGCAGACATCGTGAACACGGCTCGGCCCGACGAGAAGGCCATAATGACCTATGTGTCCAGCTTCTACCATGCCTTTTCGGGAGCGCAGAAGGTACCGGGCAGGGCCAGGCAGGCCCACCTCGCTGCCACTGCCCAATGCCACTGCTGCCTCTCGCCTCCCATGCTCACCTCATTTCTCTTGCAGACGGCAGTGGCCTCTCCGACTGGAAGCCATACCCCAGCTCCTTGGCATTGCTGCCACCCTTTGCTCACAGTCTATTAGAGTGCCCAATCTGTGCCAGGCTCTGTACTAAGCACTGAGAATACAGTGGTGACAGTCAAGCAGGGTTTTTGCTTTCATGGAACTTCCATTCTGGTGGCTGGGGCAGACAACAGGCATATTCACAGATCAAGTAATTTCATGTGATAAGCACAGTAGAGAACATGGGACAGGATGGGGGAACAGAGAAGCCCGAGGGCTGCTTTAGCTGGGGCCATCATGGGAAGCCTCCAGGAGGTGACATGAACAGCACTTGGAGTGATGACGAGGAGCTGTCATGTGAAGATCTGTAGGAAAAGCATTCCAGGCAGAGTGTAGAGCAAGTGCAAAGGCTGTGAGGCAGAAATAAGCGTGGCTTATTGAAGGAATGGCTGGAGAAGAGTAAGCGAGGTGAAGGTGCAGAGCCAGGCTGTGTAAGACTATTGTAGTCTGAGATCATGAACTTAGGTTTTAGTCCTAGCCAGTTTGGCTCAGTGGATAGAGCATTGGCCTGCGGACTGCTGAAGGGTCCCAGGTTCAATTCTGGCCAAGGGCACATGCCTTGGTTGCAGACTCATTCCCCAGTAGAGGGCGTACAAGGAGGCAGCTGATCAATGATTCTCATCATTGATGTTTCTATCTATCTCCTTCTTCCTTCTCTGAAATCAATAGAAACATATTTTAAAAATAAAATCATTATTAAAAAATAATAATTTAGGCCGAAACCGGTTTGGCTTGGTGGATAGAGCGTCGGTCTGCGGACTGAAAGGTCCCAGGTTCGATTCCGGTCAAAGGCATGTACATTGGTTGCGGGCACATCCCCGGTAGGGGGTGTGCAGGATGCAGCTGGTCGATGTTTCTCTCTCATCGACGTTTCTAGCTCTCTATCCCTCTCCCTTCCTCTCTGTGGAAAATCAATAAAATACATTTAAAAATAATAATAATTTAAGTTTTATTCTAGGGCCCCAGAAAACTATTAAGTGGTTTATGCTGAGGTGGCAGAAATGATCTTACATTTTCAGAAAGGTCAGTTAGGGTCTAACCCCTCCAGCCCCAGTGGCTAGTGTCATAAATCCAGGCCTGGTTCGAAGAGGAATCCACCCCCTTCTCTTACCAAAACCTAGCAAAATGGCCCGCATAGCCAGAGCCAGGGTTTGGCTTCCAGTCTAGAGCAAGCGCTATTTCTCCCGCATGAGCCTAGGGCCCAGTCCCAGCTGCCCTCCCTGCATCTTTCACTCTCTCTTGCTTCTCTCTCTCTTTCTCTCTCTGCGCAGATATTGTAGGCACTCTGAGGCCAGATGAGAAAGCCATCATGACTTACGTGTCCTGCTTCTACCACGCTTTCTCGGGGGCTCAAAAGGTGAGCTGGGGTGGGAGCACACCTGGCTGCTGTGTCTGAGAGGCTTGCCCTTGCCGGCCTCCTGTCATCATCATCCATCTGTGGTTGGCCAGGCTGAGGACTGACCCGCTCAAGCAGGTTTATTGTGACCATGGGCTTCAGTGTCATCACTTAGCTGGCGCTGACACGACACAGATATTCTCTCTATGAATACAGCCTGCCCTGAGAGATTGGTGGTAGCGTCCCAGTTTCTCAGAAAAGGTAGTTGAGTCCCTGCATCACATTAAATTTAGCAGAGCTGCAATTGGGACCCGTACTCCTGACCACTCGGTTGCCCTTGCTCCTCTCTGTTCATGATCCACATTAGGCCACCTGGTGCCCTGGCTGTGCCCTTTCGCTGGAGAGAACTGGCTTCTCTGCCCCTCTCTGTGGCCCCTTCCCCTCCCAAAGGGCCCAGGAAAGGCTCAGCCTGAGCAGGTTAGGCTGTTCTCTAAGCCTCCTCTTGTTGACCCAGCTCTCTGGGCCCATCTCAAGCAGCTGTGCTGACACAGGCAGAGCAGTCACAAGTGTGTTCCCAGTGGCAGTTCTCCCTGAGCATGGCTGATCTCATGCTGCCCCTGAGGAGAGATTCCCACAAGGAGGCCTGCGCACCTCTGTCCCCTTTGCTTGCCTCCAGGTCTCTGGTTGTGGACAGCTATTCCCAGAGACCTGAGTTAGTGTCACCAATTGGCAAGTGGGCAGGGAGGAAAAAAAGAAACTAGCTTTTTTTTTATGAGCACTTACTAGATGCTAGACACAGACTCTTAGTACCTACACACCCCTTTTGTAGCAGGGGGTGCTATTATCCTCAATTAAAAGAAGAGGACATTTAAGTGGGTAGGGCATCATAGGACATGGACTATCTGCTGCCTGCCGTGAATTACCTTCTTCAGAGCCCAGGTCAAGCAGGTGCTCCCTGTGCTAGTTTGCCCTGCCCAGGCTCTGCAATCTCTTAGCAGTGTGAGATAGGTCATTTCACCTCACTCAGTTCTCCCATCTGTAAAATGGGATTGTATTAGTACCTGCTTCACAGGGTTGTTCTGAGGATGAAATGACTGTTCTGGCACATGCTCAGCTAGTCGAGTAGCCTTGTCTCTGCCCGCTGTGGTTCTTCCCAGCCCAGTGCCAGAGAGCCATTTTCATAGCCTCCTGCCACTTACCCGCATGAGGTGGGAGCTTGTGTTTAGAGTGTTCTGTGGGAGGGCATAGGCGGGTGAGTGGAAGGGACCCCCACCTTAGTGGGAAGGCAGGGTGGGGCAGGGGTGGATAGCAGTGAAGATTCATTGCCACAAACCCCAACTAATAGCACGTAAGCCATTGGACTCCCTCCTACTGGCCCCACGCCAGCCTCCCTGCCCACCACATTGCCCATGCAAGAGTGCTTTCTCTTCTGCCCTGGCTACCCTCCTGTGCTTAGAGCTGAACTCCATGTAGTAGGGAAATGGAAGCCTGGAGGGGTTTTTGGGGGTGGACACTGGCAGGAAGACCCAGGACAGAGAACTTGGCCATTTTGAGGCAGCCAAACTGCTCTTATAAGGGAAGAAATAAAGGCCTGGCCCTTGGAGCTGCTGTTCACTAAGGCATTGCAGGATCCAGGCTTCTCTAGCCCAAATTTGGGTTCCCCCCAGCCTGTGTCTGCTTCTCAGGCCAGCCATGGGATACTTTTTATTATTGCTGCTGTCTTTTCCCTGTAGACTTAAGCACATCGCTCTTTTTGTTGAATTTATTGGGGTGACATTGGTTAATAAAATTATATAGGCTTCAGTTGTACAATTCTCTAATATATCATCTGTATATTATATTGTGTATTCACCAATCTCATCTCTTAAAAAAGTGCTCTCAAGGATTCTTTTTGTTTATAAATTGAAGCTGATCCCCAGGCTAAAGCATTTACTCCTTGTTCACTCATTCATTCATCAACCCGACTACCTAGAACACTGAACGCAGAGCTGGATGCCAGGAATTGGACAGTGAAACTGACCAGCAGCCCCCACCTTTGTGGGCCTATGCAGGAGAGTGGGTTAAGCGTGGGGTACCATTGTCTTCCAATGAGTGGTCAGGGACTAATCTCTGTGGCTGCCCTGAAAGCTGCAACCTTTGCTCTGCTTGCACTTCGGGCCAGTGTTCACTGGCCAAACCCTTGTGAACCTCATCTCTGAGGAGCACTGCCTGGAGCCATTGGCAAGTATCCTGCAGCATGATGCAGAGTGTGTGTGTGTGTGTGTGTGTGTGTGTGTTTGCGTGTTTGCACACCAACCTTGGCTGGTCCACCACTCACCTGTCTGCTTGTCCCAGAAGCAGTGTATGGAGGGAGAGGCTGGGCATCAGTGCCTGTAGTTAGCCTGGTCTGGAGCCATCCCCAAGCCTCTCTGTTTTCCTTCCCCACCACTCTGTAGACCCTCCTCACTATTTCTGTTCCTGTTCTGTTGCCGTTTCAACTCTTCCTCTTGGATCCTTTCTGTGCTTCCTGAAAGGTACCTGGTCTCTCCTCTCTTGTGTGGAACCCCTCTCCCTCCTCCACTCCTCGCACCCTCCCTCAGCAGGCCAACAGAGGACAGAGTCCTGTAGTTCTGGGCAAAAAGTAGTCACTGTCTCCACCACTCCCTGCTCTGTGAATCCCTTGCTCTGTGGATGGTGACTTTGGCCCAATGAGCCATCAAGGGGAGGATTAGGAAGGGGCTTAGTGTGTTCCGCCTGTGCACTGACCACCAGGCTTCTCTAGAGGGGGGGAGGGCACTAGCATCCCCGCCATTTGCCCTACAGCTCTCTAGCACTCAGCCTCGCTGCAGTCTACCTTCCCACCCAAGGGGAGACTTCATCCAAGGTTTGGCCTAGTGGAGGACCCCACCCAGCTTGACCCAACCCTTCTCTTTGTGGGCTACTAGGGCGTCCATAGAAAAAAACTTAAAACAGGTAAGCTTTTCAAGAGCAGTAATTTGACTGCTCTTCTATACCATTTCCTCCACTGTGGAGGCTTCCCAACCCTTCTCAGCATCCTCAGGGTCCAGGCCAACAAAACTGAGGGGCCTGATTATCTGGGTAGGAGCCTGAGCAGTAAGCTGTGCAGACGCCAGCAAGGGCTGTGAGGAAACAGGCACTCGGGGTGCCATCTTGCCGAAGCTGTACTTCTTTCCTCCTTGGGAAGTTCTGTGTGGGCCGTGGATGAGCCAGCTTTCTAGGGACTTGCCTGTCAGGGGGAGGGTCACTAGCCCCCAGGCAACCCTGACTGTGTATACTTCCCTCATCCCAGGCTGAGACAGCCGCCAACAGGATCTGCAAGGTGCTGGCTGTCAATCAGGAAAATGAACACCTGATGGAAGATTACGAGAGGCTGGCCAGCGATGTAAGTGCCACTTACCCTACCCGCAGTGATACCACCAGAGCTGAAAGATTGGGTCACCTTTGTTACCCTTGACCAAAGGTCATGTGACACTTGCAGAGTGAACAGTAGGTGTTACAGTGAGACTTTTTAGAAACGGTGATAAGATTACAGGCTGTAGAGTTTGCCTAAGCCAGTACGGGATGTGGCCTTTCAGGTCGGTTTCACATGATTAAGCATCAAACTGATATGTCAGCATGCTAGCTGGCTCCTGGGGTCTAGAGCTTCTATCCGGGTTCCAGCACAAATACTCAAAGATAGAATTTTCTGAACACGGCATGGCGTTAGAATCATCTGGAGAGTGTTTTAAGAATTAACATTCCCACACCCTCCCCGTGGAGAGACGGACTCAGTAGGATAGAGAGTCCGAGAGCTGATGCGGTGCTGGCCAGGACTACGGTTGTCATGGCAGGTCCTGGGCAACAGCACTACAGGCTTAGGATCTGCCATTCCTGTTACCCCCTTTCCCAAGTGAGGAGACTGAGGCCAGGCACACGTCCACTGTCACATGGCTGGTAGGAGAAAGAGCCGGGGTTCAAACACAGGTAGCTCTGCTCCAGAGCCTGACCTGGAGCATCGGTTGGGATGGTAGGTGTTCAGTAAATCTCTTCTGGATTCTGACCTTTACTTTGAAAAATTTCCATAGAAAAAAACTTAAAACAGGTAAGCTTTTCAAGAGCAGTAATTTGACTGCTCTTCTATACCAGTGAGTGATTCCCAGACATTGAGATTTCATAGAAAGGAAAATTGGGGGGAAATTTTGACAACCAACCTATGGGGGTTGACTTTTTACCTTGCCAAGTTAAGGGGATATTTTAAAAAGAAAAGATCTTTTATCACCATTATTTCTAACACCAAGAAAAGGTTAAAGGTTATATATTTTGGGATCCCATTATTTCACCATATTTTTTATATATATTTCACCATATTTTTTTAATAAATAATTTCACCATTATTTCACCATATTTTAATAATAAAAGATATGTTATCACCATTATTTCTAACACCAAGAAAAGGTTAAAGGTTATATATTTTGGGATCCCAGCCCTTCCCAAGAAAGGGTGTTTGGCATCATGCATCAAGACGTAAATATAAGGATACCTTTATCCTTGCTTTTCTCATTTTGTCAGAAGTTGTCATTGGGAATCACTTCTGAGCATATCCACTCTGCATAATAACTGATTTACTCTCCTGGGATTGTTCTAGAATGTACAGTTTGTTTGCTTCTTTGTGGCCATCCTCACTCCATCAAAGACATGAGTAGCTCATAAAAATACATATCACCTTTTTCAATTTTACATTCTAATTTTTTATGCCCCAGGCCTGTGCATCGCGCTGGCTGCCCCTGAGAGAGCCAGGCATGCTACAGGTCCAGCCCTTGAGGCACTGACAGTCCATGAACAGGGAACCAGTGAGATCTCTGAATAAGGGAGACCACCAACGAGAGGCACAAACAGGAAGTAACCAGTGAACAGCACAGTGGTTCCGAGGGGGCACCCATTCCCAGAATTCTCTACCCTGGGATCCCAACGGGAGGCTGGAGAGCAGGGGTGATTCCCCAAGACAACCCTCCAAGATCTGGATGCCCAGGTGCCTGTGAGCCAGGGGTGGTCCCGCCACATGGCTTCTTGTGGGCCCACAGCTTCTGGAGTGGATCCGGCGCACCATCCCCTGGCTGGAGGACCGCGTGCCTCAAAAGACCATCCAAGAGATGCAGCAGAAGCTGGAGGACTTCCGAGACTACCGACGAGTCCACAAGCCACCCAAGGTGCAAGAGAAGTGCCAGCTGGAGATCAACTTCAACACTCTGCAGACCAAGCTGCGCCTCAGCAACCGGCCTGCCTTCATGCCTTCCGAGGGCAGGATGGTCTCGGTGAGGGCGGGGTTGGGGGCAGAGGGAGCCAGGACCCAGGAGTGCAGATTCACCAGACAACCCCCAGTCTTAATTGTTTGGCCAGTAAAGTCTTTCTTAACTATAATTAGAATGCACAGCCTTTCTGGTGCAGAGGTGGTGGGACTGCATTGACCCTTTACCACCACCACTATCACACACACCCCCTCATCGCTCCCCAGATTTTTATACTCATCCTCAAACCACACCAGTTTGTGTGGAATTGTTTGAATTTGGAACCCCAGTTCAAATTCAAACAATCTAGGACAACCACCAAGTGCTTAAGACCCCTTCTCAGGGAGGGACAGTATTCCCTGAATAGTCACCTTCTGAGTTTCATAGCCCCATCCATGGCATTTATTCATTTGCATTTATGCATTTAACCCAGAAGAACTGGTTGCACCTGCTATGTGTTGGGTTCTGTCTGGGTACACGGATAGAACAGCAGAAGGTAGATATGGTCTAGCCCATTGCAGCCTCCCTCAGTGAGGCATCGCCGTCCGGATGACCTAGCTCCTGTGATAGCCCTGCCCTCTGCTGCCCTCCAGGATATCAACAACTGCTGGCAGCACCTGGAACAGGCCGAGAAGGGCTACGAAGAGTGGCTGCTGAATGAGATTCGCAGGCTGGAACGGCTTGACCATCTCGCAGAGAAGTTCCGGCAGAAAGCCTCCATCCACGAGGCCTGGACTGATGGTATGGTCCTCCCAGCTCTCTTGTTTCTCAGAGACACACACACACACACACACACCCGACCACCTGTCCTTTTCCTGATGCATTGCCCTTCTGCTCTGGTCTCAAACATTAATCATAGATGGGTCCCTTCCTTGGCCATCGGAGGCCAGTCATCCAGCAATGCAGCCAAGCCACGTTGATAGGAAAATGACCCTGTTCCTGTCCACTCTGCAGGGCTGGGGGACAGGTTCTTCCATCCCTGGCAGCCTGTGCGCAGACAGCCTGCCTCTGCCCTCCACACCCTTTGTGACCGAGGACCTCACGCTGTACGGGTCTGTTCCCCAGGAGGGCCCTTACAGGCAAAGGCCTGGAGCCGCCTCCTGAGCCACAAAGCTTCTCACTGACTGCAGCCCCAAGAGCCTCCTTCCAAGGGGCCTGGGCCTCTGCAGGATGGCTTCTGCAGCCTTCAAGCCCTCCAAGGGCAGGATGGTCTCGGTGAGGGCAGGCCTCCTGTTTCTCAGCTCTGCAGCTGCCTGTTCCCTTAGATCAGGATGTGGAATTCTGTCATGCCTCTGGCCCTCAGTCAGGACCCACACTATGGTTGGGATTCCAGATACCAGGGGCCTAAAAGCCTTCAGGAAACAGCCAGTGCCTAGAAAAGCTGAGAACCATCCATAGGACTCCCACCCTCCTTCCTTCCCAAGTGTCTCTGCCTTCCTGCTATTACCAAACTCAGGGGTTCACCCACTGCCACCACTCTGCCCAGCTGATTTCACATTTTTTTGCATTGCTCGTGGTGATTTTTCATCCCTCCCAGACCCACAGTTAACCATGAGATAGATCTTCATTAATCTCAGGGGAGCTCTTCTTGTCCCCCTCCCAGCTGTTTGTCAGGCAGCCCTAGTACTGGCTAGAAGCTAAGACCTACCCAGAGGCCCCACCCCAACAGCATGGGAACTCTGTGATCTGCAGTCCTGGGCTATTCTCCAGCTGCAGCTGCCAGATCAGAGCAATGCCCTCCTCCTCCTCCTCCAGGGAAAGAATGCAGAGGGAGATGCTACAATAGAAGGTGGGGCAAGCAAGACCTGGGCCAGAGGTATAGGCCTCCCTCATGCTATGAAGAAATGGCACCCATGGCTCTACCCCCAGCCCTGGAGGAGAGGATGTTGGCATTTACTTCATTCGTTCATTCATTCCACAAATACCTCTGAACCTCTTCCCTGTGTTCATTAGTTCATTAGTAGGTGAGGTCCCTGCCTGGGAAACTCTGAGGCCAGCAGGCGTTGGCATTTTTCACATCAGAGGGCCTTGTGAACATAGAGGATTTTACAGCACCCGCATCCCACACGTGGACTGAGATGTTTTCCCTCATTATCCACAATTTTGCATGTCATTCAACAGGTTCAGGGCATCATCCTTCTGTATATCCCTTCTAGGGCCTCTTGGCCCGTGTTATCAGCTCTATAGTCTCTTTCCTGGGCTCCAGGAAACCCTGGGAAGATGGTCTCCTGATGCCCAGGGTGTGGGTCTGATGGCCTACCAGCATTCCTCCCTGGGAGTGATGCAGGAGCTGGCCTTCATGTGAAGGCATTCAGGGGAAGTTGGCCTGATCTTGTGCCAGAGTGGACTGACTGGCTCAGTGGCCTCCACATGCCCTAACCCGTCCCCTACCTCCCCACAGGCAGGTACACAGGCACTTCAACACCTGGCCTGTGTCATGAGTCAGCCTGGAGCCCCCAGGCAGGCTGCCCACTCTCATTCTCAACACCTGCTGCCCAAAGCCTCTGTATCGCCAACATATGCAAAACAGGACAGACCAGCCTCCTGCCCGCTCTCACCATCCCTCACAGCCTATAGGGGTGTGATTGCTCCTCAGGTCTTGGGTTATCTGGGGAAAGAAACAAAATTGAGCCCAATTCCCTTTCGTGGCTGCCCCTCAGCCTGCATACAAGGTGGCCATGGCTGTGGCCCAGTCGTCCAGCGCACCCCTTGCCAGCCTGAGCTGAAACTCTGCTGAGGCAGAGAAGTGCTAACCTACTATTTTGGTTCCCACCCTTGGGAGAAAGCAATTTCGGGAAGGGAATTGTAAGCTTGCCTTTGTGGTTACGTGTTCTACCCCAGGGCTGGGGCGGCAGGGCCAGTGGAGTCAGTCTCCCAGGCTGTGCCTCCTGTCTGCCAACGCCAGGCCCTGTCCTCAGGGTGGCTGAGGTTACAGTGGTCCTGGCTCTGTGCCTGCCCTTCTCGAACAACACCTCACTGAGGCTTCAGGCGCCGGCGTTGGCTCCATTCCAGAGATGAGGGAATAGCTGGGAGAAACTGCCTACCTTCCCACAGCTCTGAGTCTCTGCACCTGGAGGGCAGCTGCTGGTCAGACGCGCTGGGGCCGCATTGAGGAGGGGGTCTCTGAGCTGCCACTCTAGGGGCAACCCAGAGTGGCTTACGGGAAGCAGTGCCCCCTCCCCAGCTAACCTTTTCCACCAGTTCTGCAGAACCTTACTGTGTTTCCAGGGCCACTCGAGCTTCTGTCCTGGGGCATATAATTAGCCAGGCTCCAGGTCTAATAACAGTGTTCCTCCCTTCCTTCAAAGGCCTAATGACAGGCCCTGCCTCACTGCACGTGCAAAGTCCTTAGGACAGTATGGGGCCCATAGGTATGTGCTAAGACACCCCCGCAAAGGAGCCAGCCCACAAGTGCCAGGGAGCAGGCAGAGGGGTGGTCTCCAAGAACCCTAACTGGAACACTTTCCCTTCCTCTACCCAGCCTTTTCTCCAGATCACAGTCCTCTACAGATGGTATAACAGTCCAGGTTTCCAGTCTCCCACCACTATGGACACTAAGTTTAGAACACATATGTTGAATTGGGATATCTGGCTTAGGCCCACACCACCACAGTGTCTCCCAGTCCATACAGGATTTATTTGGGCTTAGAGATCCCTGGAAAGGTCAAGGAAAAAGGTTCTGGAAGTTTCTATTCTTCATGGCACCATTCTCCGCTAGATAGGATGTTGTTCTGCCTCATTTCCTTGCCCCTGGTTGCACAGGCCTCTGGTGAACTCTTGGTGCATTGTTGTCTAAGTGCCTCCTGCCTTCTGCCCCACCCAGGGAAGGAAGCCATGCTGAAGCACCGGGACTACGAGACGGCCACCCTGTCAGACATCAAAGCCCTCATCCGCAAGCACGAGGCCTTCGAGAGCGACCTGGCTGCACATCAGGACCGCGTGGAACAGATTGCAGCTATTGCCCAGGAGCTCAAGTAAATGCGGGCTCATGGGCCCATCACTTGCTCTTCCTCCAGCACCCCACCCAGAACAGTGGTGGACTGCAACCAAGGTCATGCTGCGCCATGTCTGGAGCGGGGTCTCCCAGCCCTCTGCACCCATACCCCTCCTGCAGATGCCAGGGCCTTATGGGGTGATGTCTTCATCATTTCTTGTCTTATGAGAAACAATGCGGAATCTAGATGCTCTGACCCCTTGTCCTGATTCTTCAGGCTCTAGGGGTCCCTGGGCTCCACTTCCTTGCCTGCCACAGCAAGGAGATCCCTGGTCTCTGATAGGGTCCCTATTCCCGCTCCTCCCCAAGGGACTTGGCTGTACAGAGTGCACAGAGAGCCCATTGTTCTGCCCCTTTCCTCTCATGCTCAGAAACACTATTGTAAGGCCTTCCAGGCAGCCGGGTTCTTTGCCCTCCCTTCCCTGCCCCAGTCAGATAAACTTGTGCACACAATTAGTACACTGAGTCTCCAGAGCCAGTGAATGAGGGCCTTATTCCACCAGTGCAATGGCCATCAGCAGGGAGGACTCGGGGTGGGAGGGCCAGGCCATTACTTCATGGAAAATCCATAGGCTCTGGAGGGACAGCAGGGCTCCCAAAATAACTCTGTTCAAAAATAGGATTCTTAGCTAGAACTGCCCTTTCTACAGTCATTCCCAGAGTTCTGCTTGTTCCTACATGGCTGGAGCCAGCATGCTGTCCTGTGCTGCCCCATGCCAGGGAGGGCCAGCTTATTCCCTGACTCATTTGCTCCATATTGCCTAGTTTCTTGGGGTTCCCCGTTTGCTCACCAGAGGCAGAAGTCCTATGGGGCCTTTCTGTACTGGAATACAGGGTCCCTGCTGGGGCCTCCCCTTGGGGTCCTGCAGACTCTCCTGGGATAGAGCTCCTGCATTTGGCACACCCAGGCCAAGGACAGCAAGGCAAGGCCACACACGCAGTTTGCAGGGGTCATGGAGGGTGGCACATGAGTAGGTTTCTTAGCTGGCCGGTGAGCCCCTGGAAGCTGCTAAGAAACATTTTGAATAAATCCCAGGCCAGCCCGCTTCTCAGGCACTGGGAACTGCCATTTGAAACCCATCACCCTGACCCAGGGAACAGGCGGTCCCTGAAGCAGCTTTCTGGAGAGTGGCCCTAGAGGAGGGAGGGCGGGGGGCGCGCCTGTTTAGGGTACTGTCAGCTCCCCCGAAGATGAGTCAGAGGACCGAGAGCCAGCCAGAATGAGCCCTGATTAATGGCAATGATGGAAACTCCAAGAGCACTCGGTGCTCTGTCTGTACCTGCTCACTCAGTCTCCAGCCTGAGTCTCCAGCCTTAAATGTTGGTGTCTTCTGGCACCCATGTTACACAGGAGGACTGAGGCACAGAGGACAAGGCCACATAGCTAGGAAGCAGTCAAGGCAGGAGTGGAGCCCAGGCTGCCTGGCCCTCTGGAGCAGTGGTCACCAGCCCGTGGTCCGCGGACCACTGGTGGTCCGTGAGGTCCGAAAGGTTGGTGACCGCTGCCCTGGAGCATAGCCTTGCTCCCACTCCCTCTGCTAGCCTTGCCTGCTCCCTCCTGCCCCTGTATCCAGGCAGGTGACACAACCATCTGGTCCCCATGTCCTATTCCTTCCCTGCTCTCCACCCCTCACCAGTTCACCAAGATTTTTGCCTCTATACCAATTCCCTAGTGCTTTACTACTAAGAGTATCCAAGTGTCTGGACCATAGGAGATGGGAATACTGGAGCTGATGGGGGATTTTGGGGGGGGCAGGGAGCATGTGGAGGGCTTGGGACCAGTAACGATTATCAGCCCAGGATTTTCAAAATCTAAATCATTTGAATAATAATACCTGTATCCTAATCAGCTTACTTTTATCTTAATTATCAATTGCTTAGAATTAAATTGCAGGCTAGTTTTATCGGTGTGTATGGTGTGTGTGTGTTTAATATATATATATTTTATTGATTTCACAGAGGAAAGGGGAGGGAAGGAGAGGTAGAAACATCAATGATGAGAGAGAATCATTGATTGCCTGCCTCCTGCATGCCCCACATCGAGCCTGCAACCTGGGCATGTGCCCTGACTGAGAATCAAACCCTGACCTGGTTTATAGGTCAACACTCAACCAATGAGCCAGATTGGCTGGGCTGTTGTGTGTGTGTGTGTATGTGTTAATACCCATTAAAATAAATACACATCCTTTAATAAATAGCTGTTATTACTTTTACCTGTTAGGCGTCAAGGACTACTCTCAGCACTTCACAAGCTCTCTGCGATAACCCCACCACCTCCTCACAAACAAGAAAGCAGGATTCCCTCTCTCAGGGCCACACAAGTACAAAATCAGGGAGCCAGAATTCAGGCATAGAGAACTCAGCTCCAGAGCTCATGCTCTCTAACCAGAGTACTCTTCTCGACTTTCTTTAAGTGGGAAAGCAATACCCATACAAGCTTGGTCAAGGGCCACACTCTGTGCCCCCAACTACCTGCCCACCCATTTAGTTTATCACAGCTTAGCAGCCCATAGAGTGAGAGAGCAAGAGGAAGCCCCTGCTCACTCCTTTATCCGCTCCCCCTCCTCCACTCCTGAATTCTTCCTACCCTGGGAGGCCAGAAGTCATAGGAGTGGTGGGTGACTAATAGCCTTCAACATTGCTATCCCCTGGTACCAAGGCCTGAGACTTTAGGGGGCAGTTGGGTCCGCGTCCACCCATTACTGGCCTCTGCCAGGTCTCACCACCCTTTGCCCTGCCTACAGTGAGCTGGATTACTATGACTCCCACAATGTCAACACCCGGTGCCAGAAGATCTGCGATCAGTGGGACGCCCTTGGCTCTCTGACCCACAGTCGCAGGGAGGCCTTGGAGGTGAGGAGGGACAAAGTCAACCTGGAGCCTGCTGTACCCACTGACCCATTGGGACCTGCAGGCCCCTCCCCATCACCACTTCCTTCTTATTGACTACCTCTCTCCTCTGTCCCTGCCCCTCCCCACACACCAGAAAACAGAAAAGCAGCTGGAGACCATTGACCAGCTGCACCTGGAATACGCCAAGAGGGCAGCCCCCTTCAACAACTGGATGGAGAGTGCCATGGAGGACCTCCAGGACATGTTTATCGTCCATACCATCGAGGAGATTGAGGTCCGCTCCTACCCATCCTTCTTGTGGGACCTCTGAGGGGCTGGGTTGCACCTCACTCCTTCTTCTCTCTTAGGGTCTGATCTCAGCCCATGACCAGTTCAAGTCAACTCTGCCAGATGCCGACAGGGAACGGGAGGCCATCCTGGCCATCCACAAAGAGGCCCAGAGGATCGCCGAGAGCAACCATATCAAACTGTCAGGCAGCAACCCCTACACCACTGTCACCCCCCAGATCATCAACTCCAAATGGGAGAAGGTGGGGAGAGCCCCTCAGCAGGGCCAGGGCAGGCAGGGCCGGCCCGGTGAGGGGGCCATCACCCTGACTGCTCCTGCTCCATGCCCTTCCCCAGGTGCAGCAGCTGGTGCCCAAACGGGACCATGCCCTCCTGGAGGAGCAAAGCAAGCAGCAGTCCAATGAGCACCTCCGCCGCCAGTTCGCCAGCCAAGCCAACATCGTGGGGCCCTGGATCCAGACTAAGATGGAGGTGAGGGGCCGCTGCCCTAGCCCCAGCCCTGCTGAGCCCAGGGCGGAGTGGGGAAGAGCCCCAGTAAGCAGGAGGAATTGAGCAGGAAAGGTTGTCTGCCCCTGCTAACATCTGCTCCCAGGGCCAGCGGACATGGAGGCCTGGTGGGTGTGGGTCCCAGCTCTCAGCAGCTGGGAGCCCTGACCCTTGGGTGAGTTAGGAGGGTGGATCACTGATGTGCATGGAAGTGGCAGCACCACCCAGAGGGCTACTTGGCTGAGGAGGCAGATGGAGGTAGGTTCGAGTTTTGACTCTGCCTTTGATTGGTGCTGTGAGCTCAGGCTCAATTTAATCTTGCTCCTCGGTTTCCTCATCTCTAAAATGGGGGTGAAAGGAGTTAGTATTTCATTTGCTCCACAAATGCTGCCGTGCACTGCTCAGTGCAGGCCCTGCTGCAGGCACTGTGGTGTAGCTGTGATCAAGGTGGTCCCAGCTCAGACCCTCGCGGCATGCTCACAGTAACCCCTTGCGGCCTAGCCACAGAAGGTTTGTAATGATGCCGGTTGCAACTCTGGCCACCTCTTACTAAGTGCTCACTACCCACCAGGCTCACACTGACAGCGCAGCCTCGCTGAAACTCACTGCAGCCGGGGAAGGATATAGGCTGGTCAGCCCTGCCAGCTGCACAGCATGGCCACTGAGGCAGGCCCCCTGAGGAGCCAAGGCTCTGCCATCAGGATCTGCCTCTGCCTCTGCTTCTTACCGTGAGAAGCTGCTTTGCTGGGCCTTAGTTTCCACTTTTGTAGACAGGGCCTGTCACAGTGAGTCAAGGGTGCGTTAGACGTGTAGCACTTAGCCCAGAAACTCTCCAGTGTGGTTGCTTTTACACTGCAGCAACTGCCCTCCAGGCCACCCACACCCCCCACCTGCCCCAGCTGTCCCTGGCCATCGCCTTGTCCACATCACTTCTAACCCTGTGTTTCCCAGCGTGGGACAGGGAGGGACCATCACTGAGCCACAGGCCTTTTAGGAGGAAGGACCTGGTAGGGAGGCCACCAGCAACAGGGATCTCTGGGTGGCTGGCTGTGGCCGAGGGTCTGCCAGCCCCACCTCCAGTGGCACCTGGTTGTGTGCAGGAAATCGGACGCATCTCCATCGAGATGAACGGGACCCTGGAGGACCAGCTGAGCCACCTGAAGCAGTACGAGCGCAGCATTGTGGACTACAAGCCGAACCTGGACCTGCTCGAGCAGCAGCACCAGCTCATCCAGGAGGCCCTCATCTTCGACAACAAGCACACCAACTACACCATGGAGGTATGTTATACCCCACCGGGCCCCTGCACCTCATCTGTAGCATGGAAGAGCCCTATGTAGTCCCATAGGAAAGGCGCTTGCGGCTTCCTCTGTCTCTTATCCTGACTGAAAAGACTAGATCAGAATGTTTACACATTTTTTAATATTATTTCCCTAACACTGCTCCCTACACCCACCATGACAACACATCTCAGGACAAGCTCCCAAGAGAGCTGGGAGGGTAGGACCAGCCCCCGCTGTGGCCTCAGCACTGAGTCCTCACTTGAGAACACAGATCCAGCCAGTGTGTGCCAGCATCTGTGTGTGCCAGCTCTCTGCGGCCGGTCACACTGTCAGGGCTGCTTATCATCCATGCTATACACCCCCCCAGACGGGGAGAACCCAGTTCCAAGTGTCCCTCAGCTGCAGCTGTGGTGGTCGAAGCACACCCACCAGCCCGGCCTGCAGTCACGCCCTCCCTTCTCCCTCAGCACATCCGAGTGGGCTGGGAGCAGCTGCTCACCACCATTGCCCGCACCATCAACGAGATTGAGAACCAAATCCTCACCCGAGATGCCAAGGGCATCAGCCAGGAGCAGATGCAGGAGTTCCGGGCATCCTTCAACCACTTTGACAAGGTGAGCAACTCCGCCTGCCCCTTGGCACCTTCCCTCCCTGCCGTCACCATTGTCACTGTCCCATCATCTTGCCCCCTCTGTCTTTGTATCTGTCAGTTCATTCACATCACAGTTACTACGTATCAGCCGCCGCTCACAGGGCTTGGCAGGGCCTCAGCCACGGAAGGTGGTGCAGACGGGCACACTGTACCCACGTCAGGAGCAGTTTCCCTTAGGAATAAAAGGGGGTCCTGAGCCCCACTTCACCAACCTGCCCAGGAGACCTTGGGTCAGACAGCCCGAGCACACCCGAGAGTTGAGACCTGACCCGTGAATCTGGTTTACGCAGACACACAGTGTTCTTCAAATCCAGATTTGGTCTGGCAGCCCCTTTGGAAGGGCCTGAGTGCCAGTGTTTCCCCCAGTCCCTCTCCGCTGCTGGGCCTGATGTGTCATCTGCCTGCTTTCCCTCACGGTGAGGAGGGTGCAGTCTCAGCCCTGCACCATCAAGCAGGACCCTGAGGCCTCACACAGGGTAGAGTGCAGTCCCTTTTCTCCCACCCAGACCCCCTCTGAGTCCTGGGACTCAGTCCTCGATTCTGCACCATTCAGCTCCCCACCCCGCTCTAGCCCCAAGGACGTGGGAAGAAGCCTCTGACTGCCCTCCAGGCCACCCCCACCCCCACCTGCCCCAGCTGTCCCTGGCCATCGCCTTGTCCACATCACTTCTAACTCTGTGTTTCCCTCCTCCATGTGTGTCTCCCCCGGCCCCCGGCCCTCGGCCCTCTGCATGTAACCCTGGCCCCTCTCCCACCTCTGTGCCGGCCTGCTTTTCACACCGCCCCTTGCACACCTGCCTTTGGACACCGGCAGGACCACGGCGGGGCGCTAGGGCCAGAGGAATTCAAGGCCTGCCTCATCAGCCTGGGCTACGACGTGGAGAATGACCGGCAGGTATGCGCCCCCTGGGCCCCAGCAGACCGTGACATTAACTGCTCTTCTTTCTCTCTCTCCTCTGTCTCCCCACCCTCGCCATTTCACCCCTCTTCCATATGTATACCATCTCACCCGTTCTTTTGCCTCCTTCCTACCTGTGTCTTTCTGGCCCCTTTCCCCTTACCTGGTCTCTTGGGGCCGCTTTGGTCTCCCCTGCTCCTGCCACTGTCCTGTTTCCCTGCTGTGCACATGGGGCTGCCCCTCTTGCCTACTGTGGGCCTGGCCTCCTGCTGTCCCTGCGTCCTCGAGCAGAAACAGACAGGCAGCATGGACTCCGATGACTTCAGGGCTCTGCTTATCTCCACAGGATACAGCCTGGTATGCAGCCTCTGCCTCCCTCGCTGCTGTGCCACTCCTCCTCCTCCTGCTCCTCCTCCCCTTCCTTTTCTTCCTCCTCCCTGCCCTTCCTCCTCCTCCTTTTTGTGCTACCCCAGCTAGAGTTTCCAAGTCCTCAGGGACACCCTCCACCAGATCAGTGCAGCCTCACCTCCCTCCTGCTGCATCTGCTGGAGGGCCTGAGTGCCAGTGTTTACCCCAGTCCCTCTGATGACTCCCTGAGCCTCCCACTCCCTTTCTTGGAAGTCTGCAGAGAGAGGAGGTCAGGCCTCCAGCTCTTTCCCCCTTTTCTTTCTTTTTCTTTCTTCCCCACCCTCCAGAGTTAACTTGTGAGCCTAGGGCTGAGGAGCAGCAGACCTATTTGCTCTATACACCACTCCCCACTTCCCAAAAATGTGGGAGGGGAAGCGGAGAGGGCGCTCACGGGGCAGTTGCCCGGGGAATCCAGGCCCTTGGAGGCAGGCTGACAACTTGGAGTATGCACTGGGGTTGGACCCTGCCCTCCTAGCTCGGTTCTGCTGTCCCAGCCCAGCCATCCTGCCCCACTCAATGCTGCCTGTCCCCTGCCCCACTCCTGCCTCGCAGGGGGATGCTGAGTTCAACCGCATCATGAGCGTCGTCGACCCCAACCACAGTGGCCTCGTGACATTCCAAGCCTTCATCGACTTCATGTCTAGGGAAACTACCGACACAGACACAGCCGACCAGGTCATTGCCTCCTTCAAAGTCCTGGCTGGGGACAAGGTAAGCCAGTCACCTCTGAGCACCTGGGGCTAGCAGGAAGGGGCTCTGCAGTCAGGACTGGGCATGAGGGGGTGGGGGCCAGTGTGGGGTGTAGGTGCCCCAAAGTCCTGCCCTGCCTTCCCCAGAATTTCATCACAGCCGAGGAGCTTCGGAGAGAGCTGCCCCCCGACCAGGCCGAATACTGCATCGCCCGCATGGCACCATACCAGGGCCCTGATGCGGTGCCTGGTGCCCTTGACTACAAGTCCTTCTCTACAGCCCTGTACGGCGAGAGTGACCTGTGAGCCCTGACCAAACGCCCCTCCTCACAGCCTCCAGGAGGGGCTGCGGGGCCTCCCTGGTCCTGTTCCTCTGACTCTGTATCTATGCAAAGCACTCTGTCATCCTTTCTGGGGGTGGGGCGGGTGGGCAGGGAGGGGCTGGGGCAGGCTCTCTCCTCCCTCTTTGTCAGTTGGCCAGAAGGTTCTCTCTCGTTCCCCCTGGATAGGGGTACGGGAGACTTTGGGGGTCAACACTTATGGTCTGGTAAATATATATGATGTGTTGGTTTGTTGTTGTTTTTAACTATGTGGAGGGGACAGTGGATCCCCACAGCAAACAGGTCCTCTCCCGGCCCAAGGAACGCCCACCCAGCCTGCCTCTTCCTCCTCCCGAGGTCCTGCGAGGCCTCCCACATCTAGGCCAAAGCCCTATGTGCCTTGTCCAGGAACTGCTCACACCTGTGATGGGCCCAGCAGAGGGCACCACAGCTACCAATAGGAGAGGACCCCACCCTGCTCCCTTCACCCCTCCCCTCCTTTGCGATGGCCAGGAGGTGGGGGGTGCAGCTCAGTGTCCCCTTCCACAACAGAAGAGTGGATTGGGCACCCAGCCTTCTACCCTGGCCCCAACCAGCTCCCACCTGGCTTTGTCTGGACCTGCGTCTCTCAGATTTTCTAAGGACCAAAACCAAAAAAAAACAAAACAAAAAAACCCCACAAAATCACAAAAAAAAAGCTATAAAAATTTTAAACCTTTCAGAGAATTACTATTTACTTTATTAAGTTACGGATTTATTATATAAATATATATTCACCTAGCAACATATCTTTGCCGCCTCTTGCTCTCGTAATGAAGACATAGCTGATTTGCTCCCCTCCCCCAGCCCCTTACTGATTTTTCTTTTGTCTGCCATCAGGCATGGGTCTCTGGGGACCCTCCTGAGTGGGGGGTAGGCTGCTGGCCTGGCTGCCTGTTAGTTGATGGTTTTGTTCCTTTCCCACTTCCCTTTTGTTTTATTCGGATTGATTTTTTTTTTTCTTGGTTTCTGGATAAACCACCCTTCTGGGGACAGGATAATAAAACATGTAATATTTTTAAGGAGTCTACAGTATCCTCTCTTTCTCTCCAATCTCTGTGCTCTCATTTTTAGCAGAGTGGTGATACAGCACCTCTCGCAGAGTGGGGCAGGGCCTGGGGGTGCCACAATCCCTGTTCCCATGCGTGTGTAGAATGAGAATGCTATTGGGGACCCAGTCAGGGCCAGGCACTGTTCTCAGCACACAGCCGCCTCGGGCAGCCTGTCCACGGAGGGTGCGTCGTCCCCATTAACAGGCGAGGAGAGCAGAGCATGGAGGGCAGCGGCCTGCCTCGCGTCACCAGTGGTGAGTGTGGGGCAGACCGGCTCCCAAGGCCGTGCTCAGAAGCACTGCCTGATGCCAGTGCATCTACCTCATGCCAGGCAGGGAGGTGGAGGGGCTGGGAGGCTGGTTTGGCTCAGAATCCCTTGCTGTGGAAAGGCTGGTCCAGGTGACCAGGGAAGGCAGGGCTCCTGCAGCCCTCCTGCCTCCAGCCGCAGGCACTCCCCTGCCAAGATCCTAGGAGAAGTTGGCCATCTCCATCCACTGGGTGAGAGAAGACAGTGGGCTTGAGGCAGGGGTCTCTTGGGCCTCCTGCCCCAGCCGCCTGGTGCCACTCTCCCTCCAGCTCAGGCTCACCTGTTGACGGCTCAGGCAGATGACTCCCTCGCCCCCATCCAGGTGCTGTCTACAGTGGCCTGTGCAGGGAGGGCCGGGTGAGTGCCCACCACCCAGTCCCCTGCGGTGGGAGACATGCCCCTGAGCCCAGCCCGTGCTAGGGGTGGCACTCACAGAAGATGCAGGTAAGCTGGGCCACACAGGACACGAAGCGCTCGAAGTCCACACGCAGACGGCTGTCCCGGTAGCGGCTGGTAAGGGCCTGGGTCAGCTGGTTGTTGAGGTGGAAGCCTAGAGGGAGGCTGCCTCTGAGCCTGGGCTGCCATGAACCCCACCTCAGTGTGACACCCCACCCTGACTCCTCAGGGAGACCACAGGGACCTGTTCCCAGCTCTGCCTCAACCCAGCTGTGTTGCTATGGGCCTCAGTTTCCTCGTTTGTCAAACGGGAACTGTGGCAGCCCTGACCTCATAAGGTTCTGTGAAGGTGTTCTATGTAGAAAGCGTAGTGCCGTGTCTGGCACATACCAACTGCATCAGTGTTACTCCTTTAAACACAGAATTTCTGCTAGTGGGCCCTGGAGGGTTTTTCTGTGTAGCAAAACGTCTGTTCCATATGGAGTCAGTTTCTTTATACTCCACACCAGGGGTGATTTCTAACGTTTAGAAAACATCTCTGATGAGGAACCTGAGCAGGCTTCTCAAAGCTGCAGACACTGGCTCTCCCAGATCACAGGTAACTCACAGGGACGCAGGCTGCAGTGCCCCTCTGCTGCAGGTCCAGACTTACAGTTGGAGGGTAATTATCAAGTGCCATCGCGACCTGTGCCTTGTCTGGGTGCCATGAAAGGTCTTGGGGGGAAGAAGAGACTGTCCCCTCCTGGAGGTGTGGCCTCTGGCCTTCATCTGCCCTCAGGGTGGGTGAGGGTGAGGTAGAGCAGCGTGCGCAGGGCCATGGGGAACCCAGGCAGGCAGAGGGGGTGAAAGGACCGAGAGCCCTTCAGCAGCTCTCTCTGAAATTCCTACGGTCAGCTTCCTTGACTACTTGTGGACTCTATTCTGTGGTGCCTGATGTGGGGTCCTGCCCAGGGTCTCCTGTCCTGGTGAAGTCCCTCACCTAGTTTTATCAAGGTTCACTCCTAGTGACCATGACCTGGTTACCCCGCCCCAGGGCCCCATTGTACCAAGCACATGACGCCCTCACAGACCAAACCTCCCCTCCCACTCCTCCTCTCCCCACGTAGACCTTGGCTTCTTGCCTCCTTTGTGCATGCTGTTCCCTATGCCCAGAGCACCTCTCCCTCTTGGTCCAAGGCATTCCTCCTCATCTCACTCTTCAGAAAGCCCCGTAGATAACCCAGCATGCAGCAACGAGCACCTTCTCGGCTCCCACAGTTCCCTGAGCCTCCCCACCTCCACCCTGACCACTCTGGGCTGTCACTGTCATTGGTAGCTGCTGCCTCTGGACTGGAAGCCATGGGGGGGGGGGGTCAGGAAAGGTTTTTTAGTCACCACTGAACCCCAACATCAGTCTGCCCAGAGTGTGAGCAGAGCAGGTGTTCAAGGATTCCGTGGATCAAAGATGTGACTGAATTGGAACATCTGCTTCTAGTAATCACCCATCCTGACACCCTACCTGATCCTGGGTCTCGGAGCTTGCTTGTCCCCTCCCTGGCCTTCCCCTCGCTAGACACTGCCGTCACTCCAGCCCCTGCACTCTGACCTGGACTTGCCTCTCCCTCTTCCCTTCTTATACGGAATTAAAAAGTTTTAAAGAGCCGAAGTCCTCAATGCCCCGTGGGCTCTCCTGTCTCCCCACCATCACCACCAATCTTTACTCTGACCACCACTCCCCTCCCCCACTTGGCTTCAGGCCCCTCCTTCACACCAGCCCCTCGGTGCGGGCTCACACCTCAGGGTCTTTGCACTCACTGTTCCCTCTGTCTGGAACACTTGCCCAGTGTCCCCAAAGCTCACTCCCTTCAGGTCTCTGCTCAAACCTCAGCAAGGCCTTCCCTGGCCGCCCTGTCTCAGCCCTCCCATCCCTGCATGCCCTGGAACTCACCCTGCTTTCTTTTGCCTTAGCGCTTACCACCATCTGACCGAGGTGTTCTATTTGCTGTTTGTGCCATAGAACCTCAAGAGCACGTGATCAGTTTTTTCCGCCTCGCACACCAGGCACGTACCAGGTGCTCAGTGAGACCAAGTCCAAGCTTGCACCTCCTCGTTCTCTCTCGCCATTGCTTCTGTCTTCTGGGACTTTGTTTCTCACTGTCCCTCATCTCCCCGTCTTCTCTCTGATTCCATCCCTCCCCCTCTGTCTTGGGCTCCTCTCTTTCCTTGCACATCCCTGGATCTTTGATTTCCTGTGTCTTACCCTTCACTTCACTGGGGATAAGTGGGGGCCTAGGAGTTCCTGTCTGATTTCCCTCCCCTGCCCCTTCCATACAAGGGGGTGTTGAACTCGTGCAGCCACTCTGTGTTGGAGCCACTTTACAGAAGGCAGTGGAGGCTCAAGGGGATGGACTCACATGCCCAGGGAAGGGCCCCAGGAGTAAGTCAGTAGTTAGGATTCCAGCCCAAGTTCATGGGAATACAGGACATTCTGCCACGGTGCCCCGGGGACCAGGGCCTCTCAAACACCAGCCCCTCCCTGGCCCATCACCTCTCACACCTTCCTTCCCCCACACAGGATTCTCCCTGTGGCCTCAAGGTCACAGTCCCTGCTAAGAGCTGGCAACAAGCTGAGAGGTTGGCTTTGTGGGTATTGGCAGCTGAGTGAGCTGCTAGGACTCGAAGAGGATGACTCACCCCAAGGCCTCTGTCCATACCTGCAGCGTTCAGCGCCAGCCTCAGCTCATGGGAGTTCATGGTGTCAGAGGCGTCCTGGTCAAACTTGTCGAATATGGCCTGGGTGGGAGGAATAGGTCAGTCCCTCAGACAGGCCGGGTGCCCACCCCAGCTCCCGTTCTTCCTGGCTTCGCGGCATGGGGAAGCAGCTTGGCCACTTTGGGTCTGTGTTTCCCAGTTTGTAAAACGGGTTCAATAAGAGCTGTAACAAGGTTATTGTGAGGACATGCTTAGATCACCCACAGGGAGCCTGCTGAGGGCACAACAAATGGTGGCTTGTCACCATTATTAGTATAGAGAAGCCTTAGACCATTTTCTTCTCACGGGTTTCGGGGTGGGGGAGGATCACCACCTCCCGCTGCTAGATAAGCAAAGTTACCTCCAAGGGGGGTACTGGCCTGCGATCCACAGCCAGACAGGCTGAGCTGGGCTGGGAGCTAAATCGCCAGCCCAGACCGGAGCCAGTGTTCTTTTTAAAAAAATACATATTTTATTGATTTTTTACAGAGAGGAAGGGAGAAGGATAGAGAGCCAGAAACATCGATGAGAGAGGGATATCGATCAGCTGCCCTCTGCACACACCCCACTGGGGTTGTGCTTGCAACCAAAGTACATGCCCTTGACCTGAATCAAACCTGGGACCCTTCAGTCCGCAGGCCAACGCTCTATACACTGAGCCAAACCGGTTTCGGCCCAGTGTTCTTTCTTAATGTCTAAGTTCATCAGTGGTCCTAGAGCAGGGATGGGGAATGTCCGGCCTGCAGGCCCAATAAAGGCCCTTGAAATCTTTCATTCTGGCCCTCCCAAGGCATTAGGGGTGAGTTAATTAACTGGCTAAATATAGCAGGCTAGTTTTTAAGACAATTTTATATGGCCCATGAATGATGTTATAAATGCTCAAATGGCCGTTGGCAGAAATGTTTCCCACCTCCACTCTAGATGGGCCACAGAAGGTGAAGGAGCAGGGACATCCTAGCCAGATCCCCCAGAGTTGGTGTGGGGTGGTCCCTACTCCCCTGGGGCCCTGCTAGCCCACAGAGCATCTGTGCCCTATTAGGGAGGTCTCCTTCCAGGAGGTGGTTCCTCCCAAGCCCCTTACCTGCCACTCCTGGAGGTGGCCCCAGAGCCGCTGGAAGTGGTGCAGGGCCAGGCCTCTGCCGTGCTGGAGAGGGACATCTGGGTCAGTCAGTGTCCCCAGAAGGGGCAGAGGTGCCAACATCACCACCCTCCCTGCCAGGCACGGCTCCCACCGTATACCCCGAAGCACTGCAGCAGCTGCTCACAGGTCCTGAGGCCGATCTCCCTGGGGGTCCAGCTGTGGGCCCTGGCTACAGGAACAAACAAAACCCCAAGCTTTCTGTGGGCTGGCATCACCGTGAGCGCTCAGGATCACCGCATCCCCATTTTATAGAAACGGGCACACAAAGGACTGCTGGTAACCCACCAGCCGGGATTTGAACCCAGACAAGGGAGTTCTGAGTGCAGCCACACTCCCTGCCTGTCCCTCAGAGGAGGGCTTATGAGTCACTGGGCAGGGCCCACGTGTGAGGAGATGCCATCACACTCCCAGCAGCATCACGGATTCCCACACACCGCACACCGGGGGCTGTGAGGACACACTGGCCCCAACTCACCAGGCTCCAGGGCAATGCTTAATACGGTCTGGAGCTGAGAGGCACTGAGCTCTTCCTCCTGGTCAGAGAGTGGGTTGTCAGGCCATTCACTCCAGCCACTCAACAAGGGGCCCTGGGCCCAGCCGAGCAACATGCTGGCGGTGCTGGGGACAGGCAAAGGCAGCCAGGCCTGCCCTCCAGAGCTCACAGCCCAGGAGGTGGTCAGGGCTGCAGTGGGGAAGCCCTGGGCTGTGGAAACCCACAGGGGCATGTGGCAGACCAGCCTGGGAGGGCCAGGAGAGCTGGCAGCGAAGGGCACTTTAGAAAGACCAGAAAGTGTGTGGGGAGGGGAGGGGAGCGAGGGATGAGAACTCCCAGACTGGGCAAAGACCCTGAGGCAGGGAAGAGCTGTGGGCATTCTGAGAGATTTGAGAGGGGTCAATCTAAAGGAAGATTAGACAGAGTAGAGGAGCAGTTTGGGGTGGAGAACCCCTCAGCCCACTCCTCACCTCTCCTGCCAGCTCCTGAAACAGCTGCTTCAACCCCAGGTCCAGGGGAATGTCGGGGGCCTGCATGGTGGGGGGAGTTTAGTTGTAGCCAAAAGGGCCCCCACAGCCACCCGGGCGCACCCCCTCACCATGAGAGCGTGCAAATCAGCGCTGATCACGTCGTCTATCTCCCTGCAATTACAGACCAGAAATGGGGAGACTGCTCACCCCGCGCCGGGGCTGGGGGCGGGCGGGTCAGGCAGGGTCCTGGGCCCTGGGGCCCTGGGCTGACCCACCGGGGCGCCCGGCGGCGAGCCCCTCCCTCCGGCTCACACGGCGGCGTGGCGGCGCTCCGAGAAGACGCGCAGCGTGAAGTCGGCCTCGTCGCCCGCGCGGGCGGCGCTCGGCACCACCAGGTAGTGGCCGGGGAACAGGCGGCAGCGGCGGCTCACGTCGCGGCGGGCGCAGAAGCGCGAGCGGTCGGCGCACAGCAGCCCTCGCAGGAGCGCGCGGCTGTGCGGGGAGTCCCAGAGGCCCAGCAGCTGGGGGGCGGGGACGCGAGGCCGTGACCGCCTAGGTCACCCCGCCCGGCCGTGCACCCATCGCAGCCCCCCAAAACGCCCGTGCAAACCCCGTCCCCCCAGCGTGCCCCTGGCCTTCCCTGCAGGTTGTCCGAGGCTTTGGGGCTAGTTCAGGGATAGAATCTGGAATCGGGGTCTCATCAGACTCACCTCCTCTGGGATCTATAAAAAGTAGGAGGAAAGGGAGTCAGGGTGGGGGTGGGGAGGCCCCTCAGCGTTCCCTCCATACCCACCCTCTTTTCTTCCCATTCTACCCTCATTAAGCCCCTGCCCTCAGCCCCTGGCCAAGCCTCTCTCTGCCGCCTCCTGGGTCCCTCCCTCTCATCTGTGCCTTCTTTGCTCCTTTTCACCTCCCTGAACCTCAGCACCCCCCCACCCCCCCTTCTCTGCCTCCTTCCTGACCCAGTCTCCCTGGCCCCCTCTGATTGCTTAGCATGTGCAAAGCCCAAACCCTGCCTCTCTGTGTGTGTCTCTCTGCCCTCACCCTCAGCTTCCCAGCCCCTCTGGGCCTTCTCGGACCCGACCCTCCAGCCCTGCCTCTCGTCTCCGTGCCCCGCCCCTCTCTTCAGCCCAGGGTCCCACCTGGAACACGTGGAAGCCCACAGTGAGGTACGTGAGACCCTGGGCCCTCAGGCACCGCCTGTTGCGCTGGATGAGTGACAGGAGGACAGTGCACTTGGGGACGCGGCCGCCGCGGGCAGGGCCCCGGGCCCACGCGGCCCCCCAACCCCCCCAGGGCCCGTCCTCATCCTCATCCTCCTCATCCGGCTCCAGCAGCGTCAGCCGGAACTGGGGGTTGGTCCAGAAGGTTTCTGGTAGAGGAGGAGGAAATGGGGTTAGCGGCTGGCCTGCCGCAGCCCCGGCTGCCCCTCAGTCTCCTCGGCCTCACCGGCGGCTGGCTGGCTCCCGCCGGAGTTGAAGCCTCGCACCCAGCGGCCTTGGAAGATGTGGGTGTGCCAGCCGCCTCCGGCCGGGCTGGGGCCCAGCACCTCCGGGCTCAGCGAGCAGATCTGGACGGTGTTGAAGTGGCAGAGGAAGTCCTGCAGCTCCATCCTGGAAGGGGCCGGAGTCACCTCTGCCCATCCCCCAATCTCAAGGCCCCCCACTTCCTCAGTACTGGCACGCACCCTGCAGCTTCCAGAATGACCCCCAAATTCCTGAACCCTCCAGCCCCAGGCCCAGCCAACTTCCCTCCTTGGGGATGCAGCCGTGGTTGGGGAGTGCTCCTCCAGCTCCCCCAAATTTCTAAGTCCTCATAAATGCCCCACAAATAGCTAAGATCCATCAACTTCCCTCATTGTCCAATTGTTTTCGGCCCACAAATATCAAGACCCTCAGACTCTCAATTACCAACAAATGTCCCTCAGCCCCTCAATGTTGCCAAATCTCAAAAAATGCCCCTCAACCTCCCAGAGGTTACTATGCCTCCCAGTCTCCCTAATATTATTACTAATTCATCCTCAGCTCCCCAGCTGGAAGCCCACCCCAATCACCGCTCACAGGGACAGCTCCTCCCGTTAGGACACCCTCCCCAGGAGCCTCGCCATGTCCCTTTAAGCAGGACCAGCCCCTCCCTGCGCCCCGCCAGGCTTCTCCTACTCACCAGAACTCACCGTCCTCCTTCTTCACCAGCAGGGCATCTCGCCACTCAGGGGGGAGCATGTCCCAGCGTGGGCAGCTGGGGAGACCAGGGTGTGAGGGATGGGCAGGTGGGGCCAAGCCCTCCCACCACCACAGAGCCATCCCACCTGTCGCTCCAGGGCCCGGTCCACTCCACACGGCCCCAGGGGTTCCGCAGCCGCAGCAGCCGCACCTTGGTGAAGCCCAGGGACATCTGAGGGCGACAGTGTCAGTGGGGGCCAGCGCCCGGACGCCCTCTGCCAGCCCACCCCTGGGGTTGCTCACCTTGTGCGTACCCGTGACGGAATATGCATGTCCCTTCACCAGCCCATCTTCTGTACGGTACTCGCCCTGAGTGCTCTGGGCAAAGGACAGGATGGTGAGGCCGCATTGAGGTCAGGACCCTCCCTCTCCTCTGTGCCTTCTCTGCTCCTTGTCCCATCAGAGGGTCCCATGTGACTGGGTGTGTGGCTGGGACTTGGGGCTGCAGCCGGGGATTGGGGAGTGCTCCTCTCAGAGCACCAACCGAATAGCCCAGGCTCCGAGGGGCGGCAGGAGTTGGTGAGTGAAGGGTGTGAGGAAGCAGAGAGGGAGATGGAGACAAGAGACAAAACAGATGGAAGGAGAGAGAAGATGAAGATTAGTCAGGCAGAGAGAAAGAGGCAGAGAAACATAAAAGACAAAGCAAGTGGGTCACTGAGCACAGGGTTACATACATGGATGAATCAATGAGTTAGACTGACTCAGTGAGTGAATGAGCATGTAATTGGCTCACAGATGAACATAGGACCAAGGCTGAGCCCATGAATATCTATCTTGGGCTTTTGCTGAGATTCTCAAAAGAGGTACTTTTCTTTCTTAACTCTGGGGTGGTGGGAGGTAATTGTGGGAGCCTCTTTTGGGTCCATGAAGGGAAAGCCTGCCTGAAAGTGAAGCTAACCCAGAAATAGAACCAGGGATAGAAAAACACATTCACAATGTCTGCTGAGCACCTGGATCCAGCTGTGCCTGAAGCTCATGCATTATGAGAGCAAATAAACATCCTTCCACCTTGCTCGTGTTTGGTTTGTGAAAGAGAATGCGCCCCCAGTGACAGGAGGACATGGAATGCCTCCCCCCCCCCCCGTGCACAGTGCTGGGGCTCTCACGGGAGGCCGGCTCTCTCACCACGGCAGTGGCCCCCACGAGGGACTCCTTGGCCAGGGCGTGGCGCAGGGCCGAGAAGAGGCCCGCGATGTCTTGTCTCAGGTAGAGCACCTCGCCCACACCACCTGTGAAGTCCACGAAAGCCTCGTTCATGTGGCCGCCTCGCATCGCCTCATAGGAGCCGTGGAGCCTGTGGGAGCAGGTCTGGCATGGGGGTGCCTGAGGCGTGTGCGAGCATCTCTGTCCCAGGGTGTGGGGTCCCAGGGGCTATTCCGAAAATGTGCGGACTCTGAGGTGGGGACCGTGGAGCCTTTGGTTCCTGGGTCACCAGGACAGAGTGATCTAGGGTCTCAAGAGAGCTCAGTCAGAAGGAGTCTCTGGGAGATCGATGTCTCCTTTTGGGGTAATCCCCACTGGGTTGTCAGGGATTTCAGATGCACAAGATGGGGAAAGGCGAAGGTTTGAGGGTCCCCGGTCTTACACCCAGTATTTTGGAGAGTGCTTTGGATTTCTAGTGGATCGGGAGAGACTGTCTGCGATTATAGGTCTCCCCAGGGGCCTGTAAGGGGCCTGGTTGGTGGGTCTCTAAGAATGTTCTGAGTGACCGGTGGGGGAGGAAGGAGTTACGGTGTGGAGGGCTTCAGGGAGGTGTGCATTGGGCCCCCGGGCTGTGACTTGGTCTGGAGCCCTCAGCAGGGCATCTAGGAGATCCCAGAAGTGGAGGGGCTCGGGGTCTCCTGAGGCTGGGATGTCGGGTTGGGGGGTCCTTACTTAGCATAGGCCTTCTCCAGAAGGGGGGCCCAGAACTCGTTCCGCTGCTCCGAGCGCACAAACATCAGCTTCCCCTCGCGCACGGGCAGCCTGTCGTCCACCACGACGTCCACCCAGCAGCCGAACTGCCAGAGCTGGTGGGAGGGACAGGCCCGCTCAGCGCCTGCCCCACCCGCCCAGCCCGACCCTGACCTCGCTGTACCTGTCCCAAAGTCCAGCCCCAGCCGAAACCGGTGTGGCTCAGTGGATAGAGCGTCGGCCTGCGGACTCAAGGGTCCCAGGTTCGATTCCAGTCAAGGGCATGTACCTTGGTTGTGGGCACATCCCTAGTAGGGAGTGTGCAGGAGGCAGCTGATTAATGTTTCTCTCTCATTAATATTTCTAACTCTCTATCTCTCTCCCTTCCTATCTGTAAAAGATCAATAAAATATATACAAAACAAAACAAAATTCCAGCCCCAACGAAACAATGTCACCTAGGAAACCAGTCGCCTGGGGGAGCAGGTGTGAGCAGAGGAGCCGAGCTTTACCTGGAAGTGGAAGACACCGGCATAGTGGTCCCGGAAACCCTGTCCAGGGGGCACCACTCGGCACAAGAGTCTGGGGTGCAGAGTGAGGGAGGCGGCGGCGGCGAGAAACCAACAGTTACCTTGGAGGAGAGAAGGCTAAGGCCCAGGGAGAGGAGGGAGGAGGGGGAGCTGAGGGCGGGGGGGGGGGCTAGAAGGCGGGGAGGGGGAGATGGAGGGCAGAGGTGTCAGGGTCCCAACTGCATCCTGCAGGATCTGGGACTTAAGTGAGTTCCGTGGTCTCACCCAGTTTCCCCTGGCAAACGTCTGTCCGGCTCATGTCCTCACAGATGAACTGGGGCTCAGCACAGAACTCCTGGGGGGATGGGGATCCAGGCCTCAGCCAGGAAAGGGAGGGAAGGAGCAGCCGGGAGTCAGGCGCCTGGGTCCCCTCCTGCCTCATCGCTCCAGAGTAACGAGCGTCTCCAACCCCGCGAGAGGCTTGTAAAGCCTTTGGGCACGCGGTAGGCTTCTCCGGATTCCTGGACCCAGAGTGGCTGAGCCTGCTCTGAGCTGGTCCCACCGTGATCCTTCCTCCCTCAGGCCCAGGAGTCCAGGCCCCAGCCCTCCTCCCTCAGACCCGGGAGTCCAGGCCCCAGCCCTCCTCCCTCAGACCCGGGAGTCCAGGCCCCAGCCCTCCTCCCTCAGACCCAGGAGTCCAGGCCCCAGCCCTCCACCCTCAGGCCCAGGAGTCCAACCCCCAGCCCTCCTCCCTCAGGCCCAGGAGTCCAGGCCCCCAGCCCTCCTCCCTCAGGCCCAGGAGTCCAACCCCCAGCCCTCCACCCTCAGGCCCAGGAGTCCAACCCCCAGCCCTCCTCCCTCAGGCCCAGGAGTCCAGGCTCCCAGCCCTCCTCCCTCAGACCCGGGAGTCCAGGCCCCAGCCCTCCTCCCTCAGACCCAGGAGTCCAGGCCCCAGCCCTCCTCCCTCAGGCCCAGGAGTCCAGGCCTCAGTCCTCCTCCCTCAGAGCCAGCCCCAGCCCCCAGCCACACTTTACATGGGGCCGCATCCATTCCACTCCTTTGGCCTTCTCTGAGTCCGGCCCCAGATGGTCATAGCCAAGGGCATCAGGGCCAGCTGGGAAGTAGGGATCGCGGAACAGGATCCCCTCATTCAGGCAGGCTGCTTGGATTGCCTCGTAGCTCTGGCCTCTAAAAAGCTTCGGGCCCTGGGCTCCAGGTCCTGCCTCCTCGTCCACCAGCTGGATGGTGACCTTCCCACTGCCGCACGCCATCTGGACACTCCGGGCTCCCAGGCTGGCCCCGGCCTTTAACCTCCTGAGTCACGGAGGTGGGGCTTCCCCGTCAGCTGGGCCCCACGGGGGTCTTTACGCAGAGGGAAGCCTTCCCTCATTGGCACTAATTGATGGTTTGGGTGAGGGGAGCTCGGACGCCTCCTCAGTGGTTTCCTTCCGGGGAGTGGGGCCTTCAGTTGTGGCTGGGAGAGCAGCTTAATGGGCTTGGCCGCACCAGGAGAGGAGGGCAGAGCCGAGGGAGGACCGGCTGCCCATGTGGGAGTTCCTAGAAGGAGGTCAGTGTGTCTCCTGCTGTGCCTGACTCTCCCTCTCTCCATCTGACCTTTTCTCTCTGCCTGACATCATATCTCTTCTCCATCTCAGCCCCACTCCGTCCATCACTCTCATCTCCTTCGGTCTTAGTTTTTCATTCGTCTTTGTCTGTATCCCTCTCCTTCTTTTAAACACTGGTTTTCTTTATTTTTAAAAATACACTTTTATTGATTTCAGAGAGGAAGGGGGAGAGAGAGAGAGAGAAACATCAATGATGAGAGAGAATCATTGATTGGCTGCCTCCTGCATGCCCGCTACTAGGGATCAAGACACTTGAATAACACCTCTTTCCATTTTTTTTTTTTTTTGTTGTTCTTTTCTTTTCTTTCTTTTAAAAAAAAATATTTTTATTGATTTTTTACAGAGAGGAAGGGAGGGAAAGAGAGAGAGAGAGAGCTAGAAACGTCGATGAGAGAGAAACATTGACCAGCTGCCTCCTGCACATCCCCTACTGGGGATGTGCCCGCAACCAACGTACATGCCCCTGACCGGAATCGAACTTGGGACCTTTCAGTCCGCAGACCGATGCTCTACCACTGAGCCAAACCGGTTTCGGCTCTTTTTTTTAATTTTTATATATTTTATTGATTTTTTACAGACAGTAAGGGAGAGGGAATAGAGACCTAGAAACATCGATGAGAGAGAAACATCGACCAGCTGCCTCCTGCACACCCCCTACTGGGGATGTGTCTGCAACCAATGTACATGCCTTTGACCGGAATCAAACCTGGGACCTTTCAGTCCGCAGACCGACGCTCTATCCATTGAGCCAAACCAGTTTTGGCACCTCTTTCCCTTTTCACCAGCATGTGCCCTTGACTAGAATAGAACCCGGAACCCTTCAGTCTGCAGGCTGATGCTCTATCCACTGAGCCACACCTAGCTGGTGTCTGTTTCTCACTGTGCCTATCTTGTGCATGCCTCACTGTCGGTGCCTCTTCATCCTTCTCTCTATCCTGTAACGCCTCAGTCATCCACAGCGGGAGTCGCCATGGGACGCCACCTCCGCCTTCCTGACGAGGCAGGGCTGACGTGGAAGGCTGGCTGCTCTGGGTGAGAGGAGCCCACCAGGGACCGTGACACCTGCATAGCCCACAACGGCTCCGGGGAGCAGTATTTCCCCCACAGGGTGCTGGGGCCGTTGGAAATGGGCAAAATCGCTCTGAGAGACCAGAAATTCAGCAGTTTTTGTCCGAGCAAATCTTCCACCGTCAGCACAGGTCTCCTGCCCTGGCAGCACCTGTCACCTCTGTGGCCCCAGATGTCCCTCACCTTTCTGAACTCTTTCCTTCCAAATGGACCGATAGACACACTACAGTATCGGAGTCCCTCCGCGGTAAGCCGCCAAAAGAGGGTCATAAAACGGGCTTCTCCCCGTGTGAGGCAGGTGCCAGCAAAGAGTCCCTTAACCTCTCTGTGCCTCAGTTTCCCCTCCTCTGTTCTGGGGGTAACAACCGTGGAGGGCTGTTGTGAGAAGCAATGGGTTAACGTGTGGGACGCGTTCAGAGCGAGCCTGGTGCTCAGGGAACTTCAGGTGCGATGACTGCGGACTGAGGTCCCATCGTGGGCACCTGTCACCTCAGCCCCTGGCCCTGCAGTCCCTCCCCATCCCATTCTCGGTCCATATTCCCTCCTGAGAGCCCACAGCCATCTCCCCTTTTATTTGCCCCAAAGTGCCGCTCGCAGAAGGAGGAAGCTTTTGATAAAACCTGGCTGGCATCTTGCAGTGACCGGGAAAGAGCTCCTGTGCCAGCTCACAGGCCGGCCCTCCCGGCCGCCTCCTCCCAGCCGCCTGCTGGCTGCCAAGCCACGGGCTCTGCTCACGCCTCACAAACAGGGCGCTTTGATCCTCGCCCCATTAGTGCCCTGGCGTGCAGGTGCGCAGTGGAAGTGCAGGCTTGTCGCTGTAAATGCCGACTCTGGCTAATAATAAGCAGCTTGTAAGTCAACAGCACGTTTGCATGGAGTCCTAGGGACTAACGTCAGAAGGCGCAGCCCAGGCCCTCCGCCGCCCCAGTTCCGGGCCATTTGCTGACCTGCAAACATGGAGCCAGGATGGCTCGGCACCAAAGGCTCGCAGGGCCCGTGGGAGCCTCCCTCCGTCTCGCTGTGCGATCCCCGTCCCGTCCTTATCAAAGCCTCTGCCGCTCCAGCGTGGAGATGGGCTTTGTGACAAGGGTCCCCCTCTCCTCCGGTGACGGCACCTGAACAAAAGCTTTCTTTCCCGCCAGCATTGGTGTCCGGTGTGGCAGGAGCCGAGCCTGTGGCACTGCCCACATTCGCCCCCAGGCCCGCGGGAGAGAGGGCGCAGATCTGTACAGGTGTCTGCGGCTCTGCTGCCTCTTTTATGGACCCCCCCCCCCCCTCACACACACACACACACACACACACACACACACACACATTATGTGTTCAGGATCCACCTCATCCTCAAGCCATGCAGCTCTGGCAGGCCGGCTTCTGCAGGGGGCGCTGACTGCAGGGGGGCGCTGACCCAGACCAGCAGTGGGAGCAGCCAGTTCCTGGGCTTCTCTTTGGGGGCAGCCTGGTGGGAGGGGGCAGGGAGTGCGGGAGACCCCGCGGAGGAGGAGGACCGTGCGGGCAGAGCAGAGCCAGGTGACGGGAAAGAGATGCTCACAGCAGAGGCCTCGGCAGGAGGCGCTGGCAGCCAGACCTCGGGCGAAGGGAGCCAAGGGCCGCCCCAGCGCCCCGGGGGGCTGCGGCGCGTCCTCTGTGGGGAAGGAGTGGGTTCCGCTCTGGTCAGGGCACGTACAAGCCTGAGCCAATGAGCACCAGGTCGATATTCCTGTCGGCCTGTGGGAAGACTGACAGCCGGCGCCGGTTTTCTCCGTGTCCCTCCTGTCGCTTTCCCTAACCGCGGTTTGACTTTACCAAGTTAAGGCCGCACTTGAGCCACTAAAGGAAAAAACCTGCCTAAAACACTATGAAAATGAAAACTCCTCTGATTCAGAGCAGGCATTCGTCACCCACGAAACAGCACACGCTTACTCTCCTGGTCCCTGTGGCCACTGCCCAGGCACCTCAGAGTGGTCGCCCGTGACCTCACAGGAACCGGGAGGCGTCTCAGTCGGGCCGGCGGCCGCAGCAAACGCCATGTCTCCTCTGGAGCCTGGGCGTCCGTCGTGGACCCCGCAGGCCGGTTCTGGTGAGTCTTCCGGCGACGCTCCGCCGTGCTGCACCCCATGGAGGGGAGCCCTGGCTCGCCTCTCCCTCCTTCTCAGACTCCACCGCATCCCCACCCTCTCCTCACCGAAAGCTAATAACACTAAAACCCACCGCCACACACCATCCTGTTGGGGGTTAGAGCTTCAACATGGGAATCTGGGGAGGACCCCAGCATTCGTCCATAACAAGAGCTAAGCCTTGGCGTGATCTCATGTCACAGGCAGGAAACAGAGACGCAGAGAAGCCTGGTGCTTTGTGCAGGATTGAGATTTGAATCCCATGGTCTGGCACACGGATCACATTAAACAGACTCTCAAAGGATAGGTTCAGAATATGTAAAGAGCTCCTACAAATAAACAACAGTGGCCCTGGCCAGTGTGTCGTCCTGTGCGCCCAAAGATTGCTGGTTCGATTCCCAGCAGGCTGCTGCAGGAGGCAGCCAATCACTCTCACATTGATGTTCCTCTTTCTCCCTTTCCCTCCCTCTCTCTCTGAAAATCAACACAGCCAAAACCGGTTTGGCTGAGTGGCTAGAGCTCTGGACTGCAGACCGAAAGGTCCCAGATTCAATTCTGGTCAAGGGCATGTACCTTGGTTGCGGGCACATCCCCAGTAGGGGGTGTGCAGGAGGCAGCTGGTCGATGTTTCTCTCTCATCAATGTTTCTAGGTCTCTATTCCTCTCCCTTCCTCTCTATGAAAAAATCAATAAAATATATTTTAAAAAATCAATACAAATCAATACAAATATTTAAATAAATACATAGCCGAAGCCGGTTTGGCTCAGTGGTAGAGCGTCGGTCTGCGGACTGAAGGGTCCCAGGTTCGATTCCGGTCAAGGGCATGTACATTGGTTGCGGGCACATCCCCAGTGGGGGGTGCGCAAGAGGCAGCTGGCCAATGTTTCTCTCTCATCGATGTTTCTAGCTTTCTATCTCTCTCCCTTCCTCTCTGTAAAAAATCAATAAAATATATTTAATAATAAATAAATAAATAAATAAATACATAAAATGCAGTGGACCCAATAGAAAATGAGCAAAAACATGAATGAGCAATCACAGACTCAGTGATTTTATTTTCCAATAAGCATAGGAAATCACATTCAACCTCAAAGAAATGCTCCTTGCTGATGAAGACCATATGAAACACCATTACAGGCACTGGATTAGGAAGGAAGTTAGGGAGTTTGAAATGCCAACAGTTAGCAGGGATGTGGAGCAATGGAAATGTCGACGGAGAGGTGTAATTTGGTACAAATACCATGGAAGACAGTTTGGCACTTCTCAGTCAGTGTCTACCCTGTGACCCATCAATTCCACTCCCAGGAAAATGTACCTTAAAGAAATATATGCATATGTGTCCCAGGTGTGTTCATAGCAGCACACCTCGTGATAGCAAAACCTGAAAACAACTCAAATATCCATTGCCAGCCAAATGAGCCAATTCATACAAGGGAAGACAACACAGAAGTGAACACTGGATGAACTACAGCCATAACTTGGGCGAATCTTACACACATAATGCTGAGCGACAGAACAAGCCTCAGAAGAATACTGTTCTTTAAAAGTACTTACTGCTCCATCATCATCTGTACACCGAAAGGTTGCAGGTTCGCTCCCCAGTGTGGCCCGTAGGGGAGGCAACTGATTGAAGATCCTCTCTCTCCCTTCCTCTCTAAGATCTGGTCTGCGCTGTGGTGTTGGTCAGAGGGGCTCGCCGCCTGCAGCCACTGAGTCAAGATGGGGTGGAAAATGGTGATG